CCCCCCGTGGCTCCGCCACTGCCTCTGCTCCGTGGTGTCTTTTGGAAATAATTGTGTCATTTCATGACATGGAGTAAGGTCTTGTGGAATTTGTTGTTAAGAAAAGACATTGTGCATGAAAGCTTTCTCGCGATGTTGTGTTTATGCATTTAAAAGCAATGAAAATGATTATAATAATAATTATGACGTCGGAGATGATAGATGCTTAGGTTAATAATGCCAAAGAGTAATTTGTGAACTGATGGCAAATGGGCTAAAATGTTCTCAATGTGACAAAACCAAATGCGATGTCTTTCAGTGTATGGTTTCACAGATGTTGGAAGCACTGTAGGGCAAAGCACCAAGAAAAAGGGCAAAACAAAACCAAAATAAATAAATTTGCCAAATTTTTCGAGGGCTACGAGGCAAGCACCCTGTACTTTGGCAAAGCGCATCCCTGTGCGGATTTAAGTACATTTTGCGAACCGTTTGATGACGAAGCTCCCTTAGGCCCCAACTCCACCAGAAAAGTTGTTGGAACGAAAGTGGCTTTTTCTCCAAAAAGAAAAACTGTCCTGTTGCTAAGTTTTCAATCATTCAAAAATGTCGATATGTCGTCTGTCCTTGTAACCTGGGTTTATTGTTATCGTAATTAGACTTCAATGGCAATTTGCGGGATTAGATCGTCATCTAAGCCTCCAAATTATATTGTATTGATTCTTGTACCGAGTCGTAATTAGTACGTACGCATCTAGTCCCACGTTCTTTTGTATATGAGCATTTTTTCGATTGATCTTGCTTGTTCTCGTGCAACGCTGGTAAACATCGACATTCCAAACGATGATCGTTGCCAGTCAGCTGATTGAGGCATTGCAAGATGAGCGGTAAGTTTTTCAATTTTACTTGAAATAATTATGACAATTATAATGGATTTCGATGCTTTTTATAAATGACTTTGTGTCTAGCCTGCGTGCAGACTTTACTGCACGCAGGCTACTTCTTGTCAAATTTCTTTTATTTTTTGGTCAGGTTTTTAGGGACTTGAAATGCGTATCGAAAATCCCCAAACAGCTCAATTTTCTGTGCAACTTGGTTTAAAATTTTACCTTTGTTTATAATTTTTTTTTCTAGCCACGAAAGTGAGCTTATTTTGTTGTTCTTGAATAGCTTCAGGGACAGAATATCGGACGATTTCGAACCAAAAATAGCTTTTGATTTTGATTTCACCAAAGCTTTTGCCTTTTAAAAATCTCAACCTTGATCTTGCTAAACAATGAACACGAACTCTAACTTTTGCAGAAATGATGGACCAGTATCTGGATTTTAGTGATGAGAATACAAGTCAAATTCCACATACTGATTGCCTTGAGGGAATCTTTGAAGCTTGTAACATTTGGAATGAAGATGAAGAAGATGAGGATTGGCCAGTAGCTGACTATATTCAAACTATAAGTGAAACCAGTCAAGGGAATGTTTCTTCAAATATAGATTTTCAGCTCGGCAACAAACCATTATATACTGACCCAGTGGATGCAAGGACAAATGTTATTGGAAAAGAATGGCTGACTGCATCTTCAATGAAGGGTTTTACATGTAATGCATGTGGAAAAGCATTTCGATGGAAGAATGACATGCAGAGACACGAGCGAATTCATACAGGGGAAAAGCCATTTCAATGTGACATTTGTGACAGATCTTTCTGTCAAGAAAGCAACCTCAAGTTCCATTTGCAAAGACACAGAGGAGAGAAACCCTATTTATGCGAAGTATGTGGAAGATGCTTTACCTTAAAAGACACATTGTTGAAGCATAATACAGTTCATAGCGGCGAGAGACCCTATGGTTGTGATACTTGTAGTAAAAAGTTCGCTCAAGCTGGCACACTTAAGCGGCACCATTTTTGCAAACATACTGACCGAAAAGAGTATGAGTGTCCCACTTGTAGCAGTAAGTTTGCCAGAAGATGTCAGCTCACTGTTCACATGCATATTCACCAAGACGATATCCCATTCGTGTGTGAAAGATGTGGGAATTCATACACAAGAAAGACCGCATTGAACCGGCATATGGAGCGCAGACATAAACCTACCGACATAGATACAGGATAGAAAAAGTACATTATGACTGGCGTGACATGATGTCCGTGCAGAGGGTACACCTAGTGCCACATCTGTCCCTGCCTACGGGGAACAGGGTCAATAGATGTCAATAGATGTGGAAAAGCATCGATTGAGTGGGGGCATCTTCGTTTGCATTTACCTTTGGACTGTGGACTGGACAGTGGACAGTTTATTCTCTTCGCCCCCAACTTTTCATCTTTCATTTGAGCCCCTATTTAGGGACCTTGTCTGGTTAACTTCAGGGTCCAGTCTGATTAAATTCAAGGGTTTTTATCTTATAAATTCTAGGGGCCAACTCTCTTTATATATTGAGACGCCCAGTGGTATTTTGGTCGAGGGCGCAGTCTAATAAAATTCAGGGGCCTAATCTCATCATTCCCAAAAAGTAATAAAACTACAATTGAAAACAACACAGTATAGTTGTGTATAATTTGATTCGATTCATTATTGCGAATATTCTGTAAAGTATTTTATTGTCTCTTTTTGGCATTAGTCTCTGTGAAAATGGAATTGGCGTGGCAGTCTTTGGCTCAATTATCAATCCAAAATATCAGAATATAATTTTCTGCTTATTTTCGGTCACTATCCGACTTTTTTACTCTGAAGAGTGTCGGACAAAAAGTATTCAAGTATGCCAAGTTTGGGTTATTTTGTGCCGTCATTAATTAGTGTTTGAAAACCGTTAAAACAGTTATGAATTCGAACATCGCATACTTAGGCCAAAATTTTGGAAACAGTAAAGGAGCACCTTAATCCGTTCCCCTCTAGTAAGGGATGCAGGGGCGGACTGGCCGGTCGGGCTACCGGTGGGCCCTCCCAAAATTATTACAACTTTTTCCTAATTTTGCTATTAAATGAAAACTCGTATTGTTTGGTAGGAGCCCTCTTCTGTTGTCATAACACCGAGACTCTCTCAAGATTAGTGGATGCAGAATGAATAAAAATATCATTTTGCGGCATTTAAGTACTGAAAAAGCATTTTCCAAAATTTGGAGCCCCCATGTAAGCAAGGAGAATCCTGGGCCCAGGGCTCACTGTCTCTAATGCAATAATACGATATTTTACTGGAGTTCCAAAATCTGATAAATTTTCTCTTCGGGCCCTCATTCAAATGTTTTCATTTAATCATAGGTTAAGGTGGTAAGGATTGGCAATTATGGCGGCTCAATTTCTAGGAAGGTACATTATTTTAATGCTAACCAAATTGATTTGAGATTATAGATGAAAACAGCAGAAGGGCTCAACCCCCTCAGCTCTGAAAATTTCTTTTACCCCAGGACATCCATACTTTGCTCCAGTATAAAACATGAATGATTTGCCAAAGATCTTAGGTATACAACATCGGTTCTTACGCCAAATTTTGGTGTATTTTGTCGGCAAAATTTTGGCATAATTCCATTGGCGTGGTCTGACTGTGCTAGTTTTTTAATCGAAAATTTGCTGACGAGGCGAAAACCATGCGAGATATGCCCTGACGAACTTTGCAAAATAACAGGCCCGTAGACATTGGGGCAGGGGGGGGGGCAATGCCCCCTACAAATAATTTGCAAAAATTATGTTTGAAGATCTTATAAGCGCAGCTGGATCTGACAGTTTTTCGTAAGGCAGGTATAGAAAAAGCTATATTCCTACCCATGCCCCCCAATCCAGTTTAGGAGTTTACGGGCCTGCAAAAATGAATAAGTTTTAAATGTCTCCCATTGTAAACTAAATAACAAAAAGAAACGAGATACAGCTGGAAGACTTAGATGCATTTCAAGCTTTTTGCTCATAGAAATGTAGACATGAATCGATATCCAAACATAAAAAGGAATGACTCGTTACTCTTGAAAGTTTCTTACTGAGAACATTTATTTACTGTCTTCAATAGAAAAGACAGGTTTTTTTATAATTGCATTTAGAAATTTGTTCAAAGTTATGTTTGTCGGAAATGCTGGCCTTGTCGCTAAAAGTTGAGAATAAGATTTTGGTTTTTTGATAATTGGAAACTATTAGGGGATGGGGAATTATTGTAAATGAAAGCTTGTATGTGTTGCCTAGAGGATCGTCCTTTCGTCAAACTTGATGTGGCAAATATTCTAGATGAATTTTCTGGCCATCCGTGATGGCCTTTATTTAAGCCCTGAACAATCTAAACATTTCACCCGCTCCCCTACTTCATGAACATTTCGCCTGCCCTGCCTATGCTACTGACGTTACCATCTTGGTTGCTGGGCAAACATTCAATCAACCTGGCTGCTCAACCATTGATCGAAAAAACATCAACCCCTATTATGCTTTGACTGGAAAATTACATATCAAGATTTTCTTGAATAACTTAGATATTTCTTGAAAAACTTAGATATTTCATTAAGTTCTACCCTGGGTACCAGAACCTCAGTGATCGAAAAAGGTGACCCCTCTAAATACCATTCGCTGTTTTTTATCACTTAGGCCCCCCTTTAAAAGTCATTCAGCTAAAAAACAATAATCCCCCCCTGCAATGTCATGATTTTCTCTCATCTCTTATCCTAAGTCAGAATTAAATTTCCAGTGAAAATGATGCTGACCTGGGCTAAGGACTGTAGATCCCTTTTGTAAATATTTTACACCTACGCCTACACCCCTGGTGGCTACTAATTAGAATTAATAGCAATATTCCAATAACGTGTTAAGCCAGTATAAAAAAGTGATGCCACCAACAACTTTGGGGATACTCGTAAACATCTGAAAGGACGAAAGGGATTGTAAGGGACGACTTAACATAGCGAAAATTTTTTGACGAGATATCTCAGGTACCGTGGAGCGTTGAGAAAAATGGGGGGTCTTAAAAGGTGGGGGGGCTAAAACCGTATAAAAAGCGGATTTTCTGGTAGTTTGATACTTAATACTCGGCATTTTTTGCCTAAAGCCCCCCAGCCCCCCCTGCTCCGCGGTGCCTCTCCCATACCCCTCATAATTTCTTCCAACGCTCGCATTTCTCCCCATAAAATTGCTTTCCCTCATAGAGATCGCTTCCCCTCCGTCATAGAGATTGGATGGTTCCCCCTACCAACAATTTTCTTATGTTGTGTTAATTACGGAGGAGCTCATTTTAATTTCGCTTTGCTCCCCTGTTTTCATTGTTCGAAATTCAATTTCAACCAATCAGCGCCGATCAACCGAATTTCGAATATTTCAATTTCACGTTGGTCAATACGACCGTTCGCCAGTTCAATTTCCTGTAACAGTTGAATGTGAAGGTCAGATCTTCATCAAATTACTGAGATACGTCGCCAAACTGAAGATAAACATGTATAAAGCATCTTCAAGGGATAAATACAAGCCTAATCCACCGAAAAGTAGCATGGCTGTTTCAACGACTGACCAATCTTTGGCTGCTCCTGAGATAGATCAGATTATTGTCGACAAAACACGTAGGCCACATAAGAAATATCTACGAGGAAAGTTCCTTGGAAAGGTATTCCCTTCAACTACTGTAAACTTGTGTCTATTGCCTTCACAATAATATCTACAGGTTTATCCTTAAAAAAGATTGATATTAATGGCGCTTTCTTTTACTAACAGGGTGGATTTGCAAAATGCTACGAATTAACTGATATGGACACGAACCAAATTTATGCCGGCAAAATCGTTGCAAAGTCATTGCTCCAAAAGCCGCATCAAAAAGAAAAGGTAAACGACTTATAAAATTGTAAAACCTTGAAAATAAAAAAGCTATGCATTAACCTTCTTGTTTTTAAACCGTTTGATGAAATGTATTTTGCTCTTTTAGATGTCAATGGAAATCGAGATACATCGTTCACTCAACCATCAATTTGTCGTTGGTTTTCACAGCTTTTTTGAAGACAAGAATTTCGTTTTTGTCATTTTGGAACTTTGTAGAAGAAGAGTAAGTTTTTCTTTCACAACGATTTGGGCTTAGCGGGTTAGCAATTTGAACTTTCATTTGAAAATATTTTGTCTGATAACAGGACTAACTGTGTAAAGAACAAACCATAGCTTTTTATCTTTAATCTTTAATTGTACATGTAAGCAGTTTAGTTTTCATTCAATAAGAATTTCTCACAAGCATGCCTTTTATGTCTATTTTTTTAGTGATATTTTATTATTAGTTATGTCTATTTTTCCCAAATTAGATTTCGTCCTAGCAACTGGGCTTTCTTTTCACATTTTATGAGAACTGACTGTATTTAGAACAATTTACTGTTGCTATTCAAGGGTAAATTTGCAGAAATCCTGGAAAAGTATCAATTCATTTATATAAATTCTGGAAAAGTGTCAAGCCCATTTGCTAAAGTTCATCATAATATCCTATTTGAATAATTATACAAATTTTATGATCAATATTTACCAAATTTTTCTGCCAACAAATGAAACTTCCATCCCATTTCTCAATCAAGACCTCTGTAAATTGATGCAAAAGCACTTATAATAATGCATCTGTAAAAGTTTGAAATATGTCCTTATAATGTCAATTTATTCTACTTCTTTTTTATTCACATTCTTTAATATTTCATAGTCATTAATGGAATTACACAAAAGACGTAAAGCCCTTACAGAGCCAGAAGCCAGATACTACATGAAGCAAGTCGTGGAAGGTTGTTGCTATCTTCATGGCAACAACATCATTCATCGTGATCTGAAACTTGGCAATCTATTCCTAAATGATGACATGGAACTGAAGATTGGAGACTTTGGTTTGGCTGCGAAATACGAGGGTGAACGTAAAAAGTAAGTTGCTTAATTAACACTGCCATTTTTTTAATTTATTTTGTACACTTGATCATACTGAACTTACCTTATTAGGTTTATTGCTGGCATGACATCTTTGTTTCATATTTGTCCTTATTATTGAGGCTTCAGTTGGTATTCTTTTTAACGGCATTTAGTCATGATCAAAAGGAGCTGGTACACTCAAAAACATTGAGCCATGACTTTTGTTCTGCAATCCCATTAGTTGGCCTGGTATTCAAATTAACTCGTCTGGTACTGATTTACAAAGCAGCTTCTGTGAATAAAAAGTTGCTAACAGTGGATGCTGAAATCACATGGAACTGCAGCAATCTTGCTGAAACTGAGTGACACCTTACAGAAAAGGTCTATTTACTATGACTCAAGGCCTTTAAAGCTGGTACTACAATTTTACATAAATTTTATTACGCATGACTTCTCACTTGAACAAATTGCATACAATCGTTTCTATCATTTCTGAGTTTTTAAAACTCTAGCAACAAGTTGTCTAAAATGATCATTTTGTGCTGCTTTCAGAACTCTTTGTGGAACACCAAATTACATTGCTCCTGAAGTTCTTAGCAAGAAGGGTCATGGACATGAAGTTGATGTCTGGTCGTTAGGATGTATTTTGTAAGTATTTTAAAATTGCTATCTATGACATGTAAACAGCATTTTAATGTAGGGCTTGATATTTAAGTTGTCTTAGTCATGCGCTCTGGTTGTTAGTGATGGGCTCAGTGCTCCTTGCTCGATCGATACATAAGTCATTTTGCTCTTTACAATAGCATTCAAATAAAAAGTGAGTAAATAAATCTAATATGAACAACATGTTTGTATATGTATAACATTTTATATAAGTGAACTAATATTTTTCCCTGGCACACAGACTTCATCAGAATCAAAGATTGGATAAACTGGGTACTTGAATGAGGCATATTTTCTTGTGAAATGCCCCTTACAACAATTAAAATTCCAGTGAATATTACATGACTTAGTGATAGCTATTAATCAAAATTTTTTGGGATGGGAGGAAAAATACTTATAAGATTGCCAAAAAGTAGTTATACTTGGCTTATCTAATAAATATTAGAGCATAAAACAGAAAGAAAAGCCCTTCTTTGATTTGCCTTTATACAAAAACTACCTTTACACAGTAACTGTTATTCAATGTGATATTTTGTCCCAACTTGTAGTTAACAGATTTAAGCTACAAAGTTAAATGAAATGTATTGATTTGAACCCAGGTAACTGCTTGTTTTAAATAACTGCATTCTTGTTCTTTCAGATATACATTGTTGGTTGGTAAACCTCCATTTGAGACATGCTCCCTCAAGGAAACATATCAGCGAATTAAAAAGAATGAGTATTATATTCCATCAAAAGTCTGTCATGCAGCACAGATGCTTATCATTAAGATGTTGAGGCCCGAACCAAGTGCACGACCAAGGATTAATGAGGTAATATCTTTATTCATCAGTTTTCTGTCTATTAGGTGTTTCCCGTTTGACTGGATTGGATTAGATTGTATGAATAACTAGAGCAAGCCTATGTATGTGCACCCGTCAGGCATCATTTGTTATGCTGGATGAAGACATTTTCGATAATTATTGGATGTGATAGTTTGGGTTGTACGTTTCAAGCCTGTAAGTTTGTGTAGAAGCTTTTTTTGTTTCCACTGTGTTTCCAAAAACTCAATGGGAATAGTGATAGATCATTTATGGATATGAACCAAATTTACCTGTTTAAAATTGCGATCTTTTGATGATTTGATTTGAGCTGAAGTAGTTGAAGTAGATTCCAGTTGGTTATCATTATGTTGCTCCTGCATTACGTTTTGATCAAGTTAACAGTAGCGCATCTTCCTAAAAGTTAAAACAATTTTCCTAAATTATTGTCTGGTATTGCAATTTTATTTTATAATTAAAGTATATTTTGTAACTAAAGGACAGCAGTGATTTGAGCATTGTTCTGGGAAAGAAATGGTCTACAATTTAAATAATAAGTAATCGATTTGAAAAGTGTTCTAATTCAATTATTTCAAATTCTGTTATTTGACAATTAGCCTTTTAAAGGATTTTTTTAAGGAATTTTCAAAATGATTTTTTGCATTTCTAGATTCTTGAAGATCCATTTTTCAAAGGCTACTGCCCACAGACACTGCCAATCAGCTCACTGACAATGGCTCCACGTTTCCCTGACATGCCATCCACTGTCTCTACAAATTCTATCTCTGGTAGAAGGCCATTGGCAGAATTCAATGGCAGGCAAGGTGATGGTATCCTGCGATCCATTCCCGAAGGTAAAAAGGCAGACCCACTTAGCAATGTTAGCCGGGCAGTCTGTGTCAAAGATGGAATTGGGCATGATGTTGCTGAAGATCCATGCATGGAAGCTGAAAATGGTAAGCAAAACTGTTATCTTTTTCTCCATTCAGGAAAAAAAGCTTCCATAGCCACAAGCATTTGGGTTCCTTTTCTCTTTATGCAACAAGATTGAAGTTTGCAATGGTTAATAGTTCAATTTGAAAAAGGATCACAAAAAACTGATGACCTACTATACCTGTACTAGTTTGAGTCCTGCCATAATGTTCTTTAAGTACATAGCATTTTTTGCAAGATGCTGCAGAATCTTTCATTTGCATTCAGTTCCAGTGTTGCATGAAACATGCCCATATCCACAAATCCTATCTTCTATGCTATATTTTATAATGCAACTGTTCTAAAACATGCTTAATATTTCAAACTTTAATTTTTCAGAAGAGCCAGATGACTACTACCTTGGTCAGTTGTTCAGCCACCTAAACAAATGCTTGGAGTCCAAGCCAGCTGATAGAGTAGTCATTCAAATGGGTAGGTAACCTCTCCATTGTTCTTCTCTATTCATTGCTTGCATTTAGGTATTTTTGTTACTGTAGGAATTAGAATATTACAAAAGGCCCTCCTAATTATATTCAGGGTGATAGACCAACCGCTAGGTACCAGGGGCACTTGCCCCCCAGCTTTTGGAAAATGTTCCTTTTCTTAGGCATGTACATTCTCAACCTTTTGGAAAAATGACCCTTTCTACCTGTGCTCCTCCAACTCCAAATGCTTCTTTTATTGAAGGTTTATATTTGCTCATAGGTTTTGTGTAAGAACTTTTCCAATTTTATCATTTTTAAATCCTTTTTATAAAGGTACCCTGCAGATAGAGGTCTATTTTGATATAATTCTGATCTTCAGCTCTAAGATTACCAAGACTCCCCTTGGTATCCTTCTAAGATATTGCCAGCCCAACATATTTAGTCTTCGCTTGTACTGACGTACTTAAGGGAAAGCTTGTTTAAGAACGTATTTCTCCCTTCATTTGTTAGTTTGTGACACATATATATTGTATCATATAATGAACCTATTCTGATTTTTATTTTAGATGAAGCTGAAGACCCTGCCTCGACGCCTGTGTTCTGGATCAGTAAATGGGTAGACTATTCTGATAAATATGGTCTTGGATATCAGCTTAACAATGGTAGTGTTGGCGTATTGTTTAATGACACCACAAGGATGCTTATGAATGAGGATGGAGAGTGAGTTCTCTTTTGTTTCATCAATTTTATGATGTATAGCTTTTTATCTACAATGCCTGCTAGAACATTGGTTCCCTTGTCTAAATTTGGCATTAAAACAATGCTTGATAGCAACTGTTTAAGGGCTTCAAATTCACTTGATGTTGAAGTTGTTTCTTTTTCCCACCAAAATGTCACCCATCAATTTCAATGTAAATACAAATTTGTATATTCTTTGTGTAGGCTTCCTAAGTTCAAAGAATTAATCTTTTGAACCAGGGTTGTCAGAAACAATTCAAACTGGAGGCACAGATAGGAAGGACACTTTATCTCAGAAAGGGCCACTTTCCTAAATGGGTCTATTCCCTGAAGAATGACATTTTTTGAAATTGTAAGGGGGGTACAAGCCCTTGAAGCATAAAAGCAAAATGGGGACAAGTATTTTGATAACAAGGTTTTCCTAATAGCAAAAAATTAGTGTAAATTTGTTGCTGAGTGATGGACATGTTCATTTGTAGAACCTTGCACTACATTGATCGTAATGGCTCCGAGCACTTCCACACTGTCAAATCCCATCCACCTGCTTTGGAGAAAAAGAAGACCCTGTTGGCTTATTTTACTGATTACATGAATGAAAATCTGTTGAAGGTTAGTATCTAATAGTTTCTTGATGTTGTTCTTTTTGTTGTATCAGCATTATTTTTGTTTTGTTTTGTGTGCATCCTTAATTAGGAAAACAGGCAATTACAAAAACATTAATTTTCACAGTATTAAAAGGTCCATCCAGTAAGGGATAAGGCTCAGATGCATTCGTTGTACAGATACCTGGTCAGCCAGACCAAAATCTAGACCCAAATTTTTGAAAAGAGGAAATACAACTCTATAGTCTGCGATTGACCAGAAACAGCCAAATTCTAGTCTAGAAAAGCAAGAACGAGATGGAATAACTTTGACAACAGTTGATTGCACTTGTCAGTGGAATAAAGGTGTGATCGAAAGGACATAAGAAGGAAGAGCTAACAAATTATACAGTAGAACATGAATGTATTAATGGTTGCCCTGGGTGACCAATTGATTTGGGATGCCACCCGAAATGGCAATAGGTACATGCTCGTCAGCTGAAAGTGGAATTTGTACTGGTCTTTGTGTTTTGGAAATGTTTCTTTAACAATATTATTACTGGATACAAACAATCTCTTTATGGTAATAACTTTGTTGAATCATTTATTGGAAATGCCTGTTGTTTTTAGGCTGGTGCGAATGTGACGCCGCCTAAAGGAAGTGAGTTATCAAGGCTGCCATTCCTTCGAACATGGATTCGAACTCGTTGTGCCATTGTGCTGCATCTAAGCTGTGGCATCATTCAGGTAAGCGCAGACTTTATTTAAAACCTTGGCAACTTCATTTTAATACTGTAGAGTAGGACATCTTAAGAATTTTAAGAACCAAGGCACTTTAAATTTTCTCTAAGACCAATAAAGAATAGATATTCATAACATTTTAAGCATGGTTGACTAGTGGATAAAATCTGTTTTGTTAATGCGTGGGTAAATTTGCGAATACACATGGATTTTCTTCTTTTACCTGAAGATTGTCATGTTCTTATGATGCTCTTATTATTGGGCAAAAATGATTTGTGACCCTCAAAATTCCTCGATTTTCCACGGCTATTTAAAGAACATTAAAAACATCTTAATCTGTTAAACCCCTGGTTTCGCCCTCTATATCCACGATGAGATTCCAAGATAATGTATTTGTCAATATTTTTTCAGATCAACTTCTTTCAAGACCACACCAAGATAATCGTTTGTCCAATTATGGGAGCAGTGACATATATTGACGAGGAGAAGAATTTCCGGACATTCAAGTTGACTTCTATTGAACAATACGGGTGCTCAAAAGGACTGGCCAGTCGGCTCAAATATGCTCGTACCATGGTTGAGAGATTACAAAGCTCTAAACATGGAAACCACAAAGCACGTTCCTAGATTCCTAGGTAGATACCGTCTCTCTTTACTTTATGGTGTTTTATATTTTTGGCTTTCTTAAAACACTTCTATTCTGGTCGAAGTGATTTCTTAAATGTCTTTGTAAATAGTAGACAAAATCTGAACTAGTATGATCTGTGCAATATCGCCCAATCAATATAGTTGATGTTAAATAAAGCCAGCCAATTGAGTCAAATTCAAATGTTTTCCGAACAAAAAAGTCCATCTAAGAGTCAATTGCAAGTGTTCCTCCGAAGATTCGCCTTGAAACGTCTGTTTTGGAAATGATTCAGACATCATTTCTGACATCAGAACGGATCCAAAACAGCAAAATATTGTATAAATATTTATACTCTTCTAACACTTGTCTGCATAATCAATTAGTACAATTCGATGAATCATACGACTTTGTCCTAAAATTCTGAAATCTTTTTTCAAGTGTCCGTCCTTGCAGACAACGTGCTGTAACCCTGTGACACTGCCATCCAAAATAACTAAGAAAGCAATTGAAGTAAAAGACCGTAAAGAATATAAGGTATTTTCTTTACATTTTTCCAATTAGATTGTGGACTGATGTTCATTTTCTGCTCTGTGGTATCGAAACATTTGAACCGTCTGATTTGGCGAAAAATTGGTACTGTGGCACATCAATTTTTGTAAATAGTTGTCTTAAATGGATTACTTGTATAACTTTAATTTAAATATTTTGATATATCCATCAAACCCTGCATGGTTTATGAGTTTTTCCTCGGTTTTGCAAACAGAACTCGTACTGAACACAATGTCTGTCAAACCGCGTAGCGCGTTGTGTTTTAAGAATGCAAAAAACCTCAACTTTTGACACCGACCTTTGGCGTTGGAAATGCGACATATACCAGCTATGACTGGCTCAAATGTTCTTATATAGTGTGCCAAGGAAGATATGAAAACCGGTTATAAAAATCTAGATAAAACGTAAAATATGCTTACAGTCACACCAGATGTTGCCTGTATAAAGATGTGACTGTTAGCGTTGTGTTATTGCGAACGGACTTCAGCCGGCAGTGCGTCAAATTGTGTGGCCTCTTCCTTTTTGTTTTCAAAATGCTTCATGTTACGCTATATTTAAAGGTTGTAGTAAATACAAAATGCACATCTACAGGCAATCTTTCTAGAAAAACCAAATAAAAATTGAACTTTTCAGCTTCCAGTCCAAACAAGAGAAAATGGTGATTTTTGTTGTCTATAAATACTATGAATGTTCGAACAAATAAAACTTATGACAAAAGCCAATCCGTAGCTGGGCTTTGAAAAAGTTTGAAATATATCAATAATGAATATAAGTTTCTAGATTAAAAAAATCATGTAAATTCTTATGCTTGGTATATTGCTTTTTGTTGCTAAAAACAAGCCAACAATGTGTAATTTACCGTAGAAAAAACTAACAATTTTTATTTGGATTTCCTTTTGCAAAAAACCAATGCTAAAGAGTCTGAATGGTGAAAACTTCCTCAAAATGAATAATTTTTAGATTGAGCTTTGAGATGAAAATTAAGTGTCTAAGATTGAAAGAATAGACAAATTTCGTTGATGATGTTTTTGCAGAAAAAATACAAAGTCTATAGGCTTGAAAAAATTAATTTTTTTGTTTCAATCAAATTTTGTAAAAAGCTTAGCGTGTCAGCTTTAAAAAAGATACCTTTTTGTTTATCCCATTTTGGGTAAATAATGGCTTTGGAAAAATGTTTTGTAAGCTTGAAATTTAAAAAACGTTTTGACTTTGAAAAAACTCCAAACTTTTTTACGTTTTTTTCTGGAGAATCAACCATGGCTATTGTCTTTGAAGATAGGCGTTTTCGTTTAGTTTGATTTTGATAAGAAGTAAATAAATGGTCTTGTTTAGATAGCCTAATTTTGTTGACGCTATTTATGAGAAAACCCAAGGATATAGGTTAGGAGAAATAGAACTATTGTTTAAGGAATAAGTGAATTGGCTTGGTAAAATAGACCAAATTGATTAAACCTATTTTCGAAGAACAAAAAGAATAGGCTTAAAAAAGAGGAAGCTTTTGTTGGGTTTACATTTGGCTAAAAGTTAAGTGCATAATCTTGAAAGAATAGGTAATTTTTTTTAGGAGAAAAACTATAAACATGGTCTCAGAAAAAAGTTTTCGTTATTTTTGATTTTGATTAAAACTAAGTGCAGACATTTATAATGGTTAGCAGTCCTATTGAAATGTATTATAGAAACAAAGAAAGGATTTCGGCTTACAAAGGTGCTTTTGCTTGATTTTCTTTTGGTTGAAAGCCAAATGTATCGGCTTATAGAAGCGAAAAATAAGCAAACTTAATTGACGTTTAATTTAGGTTTAATTATGTTCAAAAATCTGAGTGTATAGGCTTGAAAAAAAAGCGTATGTTCACGTTTTTCTGGAGCAAAGAAAGGCTGAACGCTTAGGAAGAAGACGGTTTTCTCAGTTTTATTTGTTAAAAAGAATAAAGGCATAGGCTTCAAGTTGAGATAAAAGAAGTTTTCTTCGTATTTTTTTGACAAAACAAAGATTGTAGGCTTAGAATGAAAGACATTTTCTTGATAAATAATTATATAATATATGCATGGCCTTGAGAAATAGAAACATTTTCTGTAAGTTTTTGTCCATAAAAAAGTTTGTAAGCTTCGAAATAATGAACGTTTTGGTTACGTTAGATTTTTTTCAAAAAACTGAGTGCGTAGACTTGGAGGATTAGACACATTTTGTTGAGTTTTTTTCAAGAAATGGGAAGTTATAAGGTTTTGAAAGAAGGAGCTTTTGGCTATGTTTATATTTTTCTTTAATAGCTAAATGCAAAGGCTTGAATGAATGGCCACCTTTTGTTGATTTTTTTCAAGAAATAAAAGGTATAAGGTTTTGAAATAAGGAGGTTCTGGTTATGTTTTTTTTATTTAATAGCTAACTGTAAAGGCTTGGAGGAATAGAAACATTTTGTTGATTTTTTTTCAAGAAATAAAAGGTATAAGGTTTTGAAAGATGGAGGTTTTCGTTATGTTTATATATTTCTTTAATAGCTAAGTGTAAAGGCTTGGAGGAATAGAAACATTTTGTTGATTTTTTTTCAAGAAATAAAAGGTATAAGGTTTTGAAAGATGGAGGTTTTCGTTATGTTTATATTTTTCTTTAATAGCTAAGTACAAAGGCTTGGAGGAATAGAAACATTTTGTTAATTTTTTTTCAAGAAGTAAAAGGTAAAAGTTTTTGAAAGATGGAGGTTTTCGTTATGTTTATATTTTTCTTTAATAGCTAAGTGCAAAGGCTTGGAGGAATAGAAACATTTTGTTGATTTTTTTTTCAAGAAATAAAAGGTATAAGGTTTTGAAAGATGGAGGTTTTCGTTATGTTTATATTTTTCTTTAATAGCTAAGTGCAAAGGCTTGGAGGAATAGAAACATTTTGTTGATTTTTTTTCAAGAAATAAAAGGTATAAGGTTTTGAAAGATGGAGGTTTTCGTTATGTTTATATTTTTCTTTAATAGCTAAGTGCAAAGGCTTGGAGGAATAGAAACATTTTGTTGATTTTTTTTTCAAGAAATAAAAGGTATAAGGTTTTGAATGATGGAGGTTTTCGTTATGTTTATATTTTTCTTTAATAGCTAAGTGCAAAGGCTTGGAGGAATAGAAACATTTTGTTGATTTTTTTTCAAGAAATAAAAGGTATAAGGTTTTGAAAGATGGAGGTTTTCGTTATGTTTATATTTTTCTTTAATAGCTAAGTGCAAAGGCTTGGAGGAATAGAAACATTTTGTTGATTTTTTTTTCAAGAAATAAAAGGTATAAGGTTTAGAAAGATGGAGGTTTTCGTTATGTTTATATTTTTCTTTAATAGCTAAGTGTAAAGGCTTGGAGGAATAGAAACATTTTGTTGATTTTTTTTCAAGAAATAAAAGGTATAAGGTTTTGAAAGATGGAGGTTTTCGTTATGTTTATATATTTCTTTAATAGCTAAGTGTAAAGGCTTGGAGGAATAAAAACATTTTGTTGATTTTTTTTCAAGAAATAAGAGGTATAAGGTTTTGAAAGATGGAGGTTTTCGTTATGTTTATATATTTCTTTAATAGCTAAGTGTAAAGGCTTGGAGGAATAGAAACATTTTGTTGATTTTTTTCAAGAAATAAAAGGTATAAGGTTTTGAAAGATGGAGGTTTTCGTTATGTTTATATTTTTCTTTAATAGCTAAGTGCAAAGGCTTGGAGGAATAGAAACATTTTGTTGATTTTTTTCAAGAAATAAAAGGTATAAGGTTTTGAAAGATGGAGGTTTTCGTTATGTTTATATTTTTCTTTAATAGCTAAGTACAAAGGCTTGGAGGAATAGAAACATTTTGTTGATTTTTTTTCAAGAAGTAAAAGGTAAAAGTTTTTGAAAGATGGAGGTTTTCGTTATGTTTATATTTTTCTTTAATAGCTAAGTGTAAAGGCTCGGAGGAATAGAAACATTTTGTTGATTTTTTTTCAAGAAATAAAAGGTATAAGGTTTTGAAAGATGGAGGTTTTCGTTGTGTTTATATTTTTCTTTAATAGCTAAGTACAAAGGCTTGGAGGAATAGAAACATTTTGTTAATTTTTTTTCAAGAAGTAAAAGGTAAAAGTTTTTGAAAGATGGAGGTTTTCGTTATGTTTATATTTTTCTTTAATAGCTAAGTGCAAAGGCTTGGAGGAATAGAAACATTTTGTTGATTTTTTTTTCAAGAAATAAAAGGTATAAGGTTTTGAAAGATGGAGGTTTTCGTTATGTTTATATTTTTCTTTAATAGCTAAGTACAAAGGCTTGGAGGAATAGAAACATTTTGTTGATTTTTTTTCAAGAAATAAAAGGTATAAGGTTTTGAAAGATGGAGGTTTTCGTTATGTTTATATTTTTCTTTAATAGCTAAGTGTAAAGGCTCGGAGGAATAGAAACATTTTGTTGATTTTTTTTCAAGAAATAAGAGGTATAAGGTTTTGAAAGATGGAGGTTTTCGTTATGTTTATATTTTTCTTTATAGCTAAGTGTAAAGGCTTGGAGGAATAGAAACATTTTGTTGATTTTTTTTCAAGAAATAAAAGGTATAAGGTTTTGAAAGATGGAGGTTTTCGTTATGTTTATATATTTCTTTAATAGCTAAGTGCAAAGGCTTGGAGGAATAGAAACATTTTGTTGATTTTTTTCAAGAAATAAAAGGTATAAGGTTTTGAAAGATGGAGGTTTTCGTTATGTTTATATTTTTCTTTAATAGCTAAGTGCAAAGGCTTGGAGGAATAGAAACATTTTGTTGATTTTTTTTCAAGAAATAAAAGGTAGAAGGTTTTGAAAGAATGTGCCTTTGGTTATGTTTATATTTCTGTAATTTCTAAGTGCAAATTGTTGAGGAATATATACATCTCGTATTTTTTTCAAGAGATTTTTTCTTCCTTTTTTCTTTAGTTAGTTAGATAGAAACTTAGTTAGTTAGATAGAAACTTAGTTAGTTAGGTAGAAACTTAGTTAGTTAGGTAGAAACTTAGTTAGTTAGATAGAAACTTAGTTAGTTAGATAGAAACTTAGTTAGTTAGATAGAAACTTAGTTAGTTAGGTAGAAACTTAGTTAGTTAGGTAGAAACTTAGTTAGTTAGATAGAAACTTAGTTAGTTAGATAGAAACTTAGTTAGTTAGATAGAAACTTAGTTAGTTAGGTAGAAACTAAGTTAGTTAGATAGAAACTTAGTTAGTTAGATATAAACTTAGTTAGTTAGATGGAAACTTAGTTAGTTAGATAGAAACTTAGTTAGATAGAAACTTAGTTGGTTAGATAGAAACTTAGTTAGTTAGGTAGAAACTTAGTTAGTTAGATATAAACTTAGTTAGTTAGATAGAAACTTAGTTAGTTATATAGAAACTTAGTTAGTTAGATAGAAACTTAGTTAGTTATATAGAAACTTAGTTAGTTAGATAGAAACTTAGTTAGTTATATAGAAACTTAGTTAGTTAGATAGAAACTTAGTTAGTTATATAGAAACTTAGTTAGTTAGATAGAAACTTAGTTAGTTATATAGAAACTTAGTTAGTTAGATAGAAACTTAGTTAGTTAGGTAGAAACTTAGTTAGTTAGATATAAACTTAGTTAGTTAGATAGAAACTTAGTTAGTTAGATAGAAACTTAGTTATTTAGATAGAAACTTAGTTAGTTAGATAGAAACTTAGTTAGTTTCTACCTAACTAACTAAGTTTCTATCTAACTAACTAAGTTTCTAATTAACTAACTAAGTTTCTATCTAACTAACTAAGTTTCTATAAAATTAATTAAGTTTCTATAAAACTAACTAAGTTTCTATAAAACTAACTAAGTTTCTAAAAAATTAACTAAGTTTCTATCTAACTAACTAAGTTTCTATCTAACTAACTAAGTTTATATCTAACTAACAAAGTTTCTATCTTACTAACTAAGTATCTAACTTGCTAAGTTTCTATCTAACTAACTTAGTTTCTATATGACTAACTAAGTCTCTATCTTACTAACTAAGTATCTAACTTGCTAAGTTTCTATCTAACTAACTTAGTTTCTATAAAACTAACTAAGTTTTTTGCTAACTAACTAAGTCTTTTGCTAACTAAATTTCTTTCTAACTGACTTAGTTTCTATCTATATCTGTATAAGTGTTTCTTGCTAACTAACTAAGTTTCTATCTTACTAACTAAGTATCTATTACTAACATTTCTATAAATAAGTTAGAAAAAATGTATAAGATCTGAAAAAATTGGATCTTTAACCCTTTCAATTAAAGGAATGTAAGGCTTAGAAAAAAGGCAATTTGCTCGCTTTAATTTCTGTAGAAAGATAAGTGTATAGTTTTGGAAAAACAGTCTTATCGACTATTTTTATGAAAAAAACGGCTATAGACCAAGAAAATAAAATTTTCGCTAGCTTTCCCTTCAGTAGGAAAGTAAGTGTTAAGGCTTGGAATAAAATTTCAAATTTTGTTGACCCTATCTTTGGAGAAAAGCAAATGCTATAGGCTTTGAAGAGAAGAATATTTCGGTAGGTGTAACTTCGGTAAAATAGACCAATTTTGCTTACCGTATTTTTGGAGAAAAACTAATAAAATAGCCCCAGAAAAATATTAATAAACCACTCATAAAACGATTCACAAGTTTCATTTTATGTCATTTTGTTTTAAAAACTAATTATTCACAAAATACAAAAATTTCAATGTTATTTTCGGACCTTAAAAGCGCAATTTTATTCTATATCAACGAAATAAAATATAGTATATTTGCTAACGCTTGGTATAAGATCTGGTATCTCACGAAACCAAGTGATTTGGCAAAAAACGGGGGATTTGCAAATATTTAAACGGGGAATTTTTGGCATTAGTGATTCAGCTATAGCATCAAAAATAATCTTAACATCATGATAAAAGAAATTAAAAGCAAACATACCATGTTGATCAGGTTGGGAAAACATCCTTCCAGTAGTTGGAATCCAAATGAGCAACTCAAACTTGCAACGTGACTGAATGCGCGCAAAATTTAAAATAAGGAAACCAGCCAGTAACCTATATATATTCTCATTACAGGAGACATGCTTTTAATATGCTGTCTTTAATTATAGAAAATATTTTCTTTCTCTGACCATCAGACGAAAAAGTTGCTGAAAAAGCTAGAATAATATTTCTACCAGACCATGGGTTTTAGATAATTGCTGCCTTAACTTAGACAATCTATTCATAATTACAATCTTAAAGCTACGAAAATAGAGCTTTTTAATAATTTTACCGAAGACATCCGTATTATATTCCCCAAACATTAAATAAACGATATTTTAAATACCAATGAAACAATTATGATACAAACTCAATTTTAAATTAAGAAAATTCTGTAAATTTTCAAGACAGTTTTTAATCCTTACAACTACTGTGTCCCACGTATTAATTAAATAAATAACAAATCAACATTCTGCCCTTTGTTAGAAAAATTCCTATCCTGTCTCCTCGAATTATATTTTGGTGAAAACGAAAGCCGATCACAAATTTTCATTTTAACTATCTATAGCCTAATCAAGGTTTCTTAAGAAAAATGGGAGTACCAAAAGGCTCTTGTATTGGTAGGCCAATAGGGTGACAATAAAATTTTGTCAAATAAAATTATTTGAAACAAATGAAGACAAGATACTTCTGAAAAAATACCTTTCATCCGGTACCCGGCAATTGCTCTGGAAAGAGGTGATTTCGCAGTCCTTTGTTGCACCGTGATCGTTTCGCCATGATCGTTTCGCCATGAGCGATTTTATCTATCCTCTATTCGAATGGAACACCATGACAAATTTGTTATTCCATGTGAAGCCTTCACGGTCATCAACAGCATGTTTTCTTCTTTTTGCTATCGGAATTGACATCAAGGTTGAGAACGCTCATTTTCATAAGGGAATCTTCCTTTTCAGCAAGCAACCTGGAAATCAAGAAAAGCCTCGTTAATCGTTAAAAAAGGACAAAAATCTACTTAATATAATAAAATACAAACCTATAATTAATTTACATCAAGGATGAAAGGTTTAAATAGAATATTTAAATAAAGGACCTAGACTAGAAATGGCACAACTTCATTATCGGTACTGATATCTTATGAAGGGCTGCTGTGGTGCGAAGGTCAAAGGGAATGGACTCCTGATTACATCACCACGCTATACCAAAAGCTGGTGAAAACTGGTAACAACTTGGTCCTGGAATGCAGCCCGGAATATTCACGCAGAACAATCAAAGGACAATACCAGTCAAATACACAAGGCCATTTTTCATAACGATGGATGCTTTTAAGGCCCATTTGATAGATAACCTTTTTGCTTGGTCCCCAAGTATGTAAAGAAAAGCATACTGAGTGCAAATAATGTGACAAACATTAGCTCTGTTAATCACGTTTTGATATTTGTCACCATAGTGAATTTTGTTGATGTTAGTTTTACCGTGCAAAGGCTTTGATATTTGTAAGGGTTTTATTGCTTTACACGTTCTCTTCTCTTTGGTTACTTAACAAAATGATGTCGTTACCAGCATATATAATAATAATAATAATAATAATAATAATAATAATAATAATAATAATAATAATAATGCAAAATTTATAAAGCGTCACAATATAAAAATACTCGGTTGCGCTTTACAGTCTAAGTCCTATTTACAATGTAAAATTTAGATTAAGAATAAATAAAAACATAAGATAAAAGGCATGTTTTCATTTACAATGAAAGAAAGATGTTCATGTCCATGCTTACACTGAACACCCCCCCCCCCCCCCTAGACACTAATTATACGCTTTTTTCAAAGTAATATGTTTTCAGGAGCCTCTTGAAAGTTGTTCGCCTACAATTCGCCGCATTTGCGCAGCTACGATTGAAGAAAATCCTCTTTGGTAAAATAGGTGTTGTTCTTATATGGCTACATACATTTTTGGCACCGAGTAAAACAGGCCTTCCCATGTGTAAAACAGGCATCTTATGGAAAGCACAAATTTTGCTTGGTTATCAGTCGAATTCATTATTCTCTGGTACAAAGACAAGAAACTTCTGTTTTTTCTGCTTTGGCTTGTAAATTACTTAGTAAAACTAAATTGCTGCTTTTATTCGCAGTTATGTCACGCTTATACTCTTCATTTCTGTATTGGTTATCAAAAGAAACCCAAAAATCTTAGCAAAAAGAATTACAGCCATGAAAACAAGAAGAGTTACCTGGACATTTTGACCATCGCCTCGTTGACCCCATGTCCCGATTTGGCACTCACTTCAAAGTATGCACTGCTGAAATCCTTGAAAAAATAAATCAATGTGTCAAATTTAATAGCTATTTGATTCTGCATTAAATCAATTTAATTTAAGTAAAAATGACTTCAGAAAAAGACATGCTACAGATTTACATCTGACACTCCATTCGTCAGATTATAAACATTAGGAGTATTGATAAAAAATGCCAAACTAGAAATATTTACTGAGATATGGGTACAAATAAGCCAATTAGAAATGTGAGCACATGACTGAAAACACTGCCGAATCAGTGCTGACTGCCTTCAGAAAATATTACAATAAAGTCCAAGGGTGTTGACAAACTTCAGTCTATGAATTCTAAATTGTTACATGAAATGACAACCAAGCAATCCCAATGATCGGCAATATTGTGCCTATAGTTTTTAAACAATCTGGGTGTTTTAGCAAATGTTGCCCGATGACAGAATCAAATATTTTATCTGTTGTTTTTGTATACCGAGGGGGCTGTTTCAGAGAAAGGAGTTTTGCTTCTAACGTTGGAAGGGATGTGCTGCCTTCCTTATTCTTTTCTCTAATCTTTGGTTCGTGCGTCCTACGTAGTTTTTGTTTTAGATCTGCAAGATCGACGAGGCTGTTTTCTCGAAGAAAGAATGTAGTGATTTTTTCATAACGGAGAAATTTAGTTGATGTAAGATTACTCTTCATCTCATTGTTACACGAGTTTCAAATCTTAGATTTCACTTTTTTGAAGCTCACGGCGTGCAAATGCTGCCAATTTGTGGCTACAGCTGAAAGCAGCACAATAATAAATCAAAACAGCTATAATTGTAAACACATTTATGGTTCATAAGAAATCTTACTTGCGCCAGTTTTTCTCCAATGTCTACTTTGATCTTACGAAACCCATCATCAGCAAGATCGAGTTTATTTCCAAGGATCATCACTGTACACTCGGGCTCAGCAGAATCCTTGAAAAGAAGAAATAAGTCGTAAATAACGAAGAATGAAGTTAAAAATTCAAAAGATAAAGAATCTGTCTGACTTTGTAAGTTTTTTCAAAGATATAAGACAGGCACAGAAATTTAGGACTCGATACAAAAATGACTCGAATAGCAAAAACAGGCATGGTTGGATCGTGATTGGTACGATTTTCAATGGGGATCTGCAAAAATTTGTGTCTCTTGCTAAGAGGGACAAGAATCGCCTAGAACACAAATCTAGCATAATCACTTCATATGTAGTGCACTTTGTCAGTAAGTATACATTTTTTCTCGACAAAATAACAACAGATTAAGTGACATTAGCAAACAAAACAACAGAGGGTAAAAAAGTCATGACCACCAGTTGGAATGCTAGTGTAATATACATAGTGTAATATTGGAATAATAAATCATCTTTGGTAAGTACAACCCTTTTCCTTTAGACTTTAAATAGATAGTCCCTCTCATATCTGATAAACATTCACACATTCGGAACCAAGGTCTTGTAAAAATATACTACCCAGGCATAAAAAATAGGACGCTATTCTGATAAAGTGTACAAGGCGGAATCAACTAAACATGACTTAGTCAAATGTCTATACCTTTGAGTGTCATTACCGCACTGAATATACTTGTTGAAATGAAACTCATGTTTTTCGTCTTGGCCCTCATACTAAAGTTTATAATAAAGCTGTGCTTTCCGCCCAATGTTTGAAATTTTTTTTGAAAAGGGGGGAGGGGCTGTAGCTAAAACTTTCTAAAACGCAGAATGCAATTGAAAATGATTTGTGGTCAACATGCACAACCTAATTGGGATACTTGTTAGATTAGACCCTTAGAAGAAAGACAGCCTGTTTGTTCTTAACTTCTTAGGTTCATCTTTGCCGGGATTCACTGCACTCAAGCAAATTTGGTAGGGTGCCTAAACACCAAGAACAAAATGATTTGCTCAGTAAATGAAGCAGCAAAGAAAATATTTTAGTTAGGGCCTTGGCATACCTCTACACTGTTCATCCAGTTCCTCATGTTTTTGAAAGATCTTTCTGAACATAAATCAAACATGACAATAACACCATCAGCTTTTCGGAAGTACTGCTTTGTGATGCTTCGAAATCTGAAAAAAAACGAAGTTTTCGTTATTCCTCTGGGCTAAACCCTTCAGCTCTCTATCAAAAAACACATAAATCGACCCTTGAAAAACCTTGGTCGGCAGTAACAAAAATTCATGCGCTGTCAGCCGACAAAAACTTAACAACGCTAATACATAGCTCGTTTCTCTGCAGCGTGCAGTTAAACAAAATTAACCGATTAACAATTTCTAGCAGATTTGCCGTTTTATCGAGTAATAAAATATTTCAGGTAAATCATTCTTGAAAGAACCATTCTTGGTCAGAATAAAGTAGGCAATTTGTCATAAAAAAGTTTATTATGCTGGCAATTGTTTGCTTGAAATGAATTAACATAAATTATCACGAATATCTTGATAAATTGCTTACCTCTCCTGACCAGCTGTGTCCCATAGCTGCAACGCAACCCATTCTTGGAAAACCTTGACGATTTTCACTTGAAAGTCAACACCTAAGATAAATTAAACGCATCTTATTTGTCGTACCCAAGAAGTGCGTATTCAAGAGTTTTATATGGAGAAAAATCGATCAATTGAATGTTTACTTAAAACGTTCCATCATTTCAGGGGGAAAACCCAAGTCTAGATTGCCAAATCAAATATTATCATGTCTTCAAATTGTATCATTTATAACAGAAAACAACTTAATGCATCCGGTCATTATTCAACCGGGTTACTGGCAATATCACAGGACTATTCGGACCGGATCTTAAACCATAACCGATCATCAATGCTCCGGGATCATTACTAACAATGGTTCGTATAACATATTTTGATGCTAAAATCAACATAAAGATCGTGTTCTCTCACAGACGCTTCTTGTAACTATTGACAAATAATATGCAACTCGGTTGCTCTCCAACTTACCAATCGTTGCAGAAAAATTCGTTCGGAAGTGATTGAAGCAGAACCGGTGAATCAAACTGCTTTTACCGACTCCAGAATCACCAACAAAGACAATTTTGTACACCCGGTTAGGATTGGAAGGAGGCTCTTCAGAAGGTTGGGCATTCAAAGGAGCGTTCTACAATAAAGAGAATTATATATAATTTACAAGGACATAATACAAATTTCTAGTAAGTTTTTTAGTTTTAGATCAAAATGAAAGATACTTTCAAAAATGGGAACCATTAAAAATAGTAAAGGACTGCACAGCAACAAATAGTGAAACATTTGATTGGCTAAATGTTTCTTAGCATAAAGATCCCCTGTCTGAATATAAATGAAACTCTGAGGCTACATTCAATAATTAAAACTGCACCATTCCTGATCGATAATGCAACATTTTTAGAGCAACATTAAATATAAAAATTCTCAACACTTGAAGAAACGTTCTACTTGAAACATAGCCTTAGCATTCCAATGTTCGGAATCAAGTTATTTGCAACCGTTGCATGTTGTTACACGTGTGAAAGCGATTCGAAAATCTATCATGACAAATATCTTACCGAACTGCTCGCATCATTTGAGTCACTGCCTGCCAATGCTTTTTGTTGTGTCTGTGGTTTCGCCAGATCATTCAGCATTTCACGCAAGTGCTTCTTGCTTTCTTCCATGTCCAAAGAAATGACCTCTTTCATTTCCTCTTCTACTCCATGTGACATTCTGTCTGCTTCACTCTCTGTTGCACTCATTTGATCCTCTGTTTGGCCGGGTACTTGCTCGTGTGAATTTCCTAATTCACTTTCCATATCCTCATGTGAAACTGAACCACTTTCATCATCGATGTTGAAATTTTCGTCATTCCGATACTTGTTGCCACAATTTTCCTCTTCTGCACCACACGTAGAACTAGATAGCTCGAGCTTCTTTACATCGTCAACTTTGTCATTAGTGTCCTCATTTTGAGCAACGCCTTCCGATCTGTTTATGCCATCAACCTCTCCATTCAATACGTGTTCATTTGACAGCTTTCTCCGCAACGCCTTAATATGCCCGATCACATCCTCGTCTTCATTTCTTGGCTGATACAAAGACTCGTTCCCGCCATGGATAGTTGGCAACATCCTACGCCGTCTTGTAGGTGATTCCTCGCTTGGGTTTTCGCTGCGTATTGGTGTCGAGGTCAAAACATCATGGTCGTCGCCAGGTGGCTCAAAGTATTTGTTTCCATTTTCAGTAGAGAAACCTGCAAGATATAAACAAAAGTACAATGCTTCTCTCCGAAACAAACATACAAGCTAACATAACGCTTCTGTGTACACAGTAGCATAAATTATGGAAAGTATGATCCATCAACAAGACACGTAACGCCAAATTCATCTAAGATCTTTGGCAAGAATTTTAGAAAAGATTCAAGGATTCGAAGAGTTCTGTAGAGATGAATGTTTAGATTATCAAATGAAGGGTTTGATGGAAGGCACGAAAACGTGTTCAAAAGACCTTGCTGTCATGGAAAAGAAAACGAATCAGAAGATCTGCGTCTACACGAAAATGATGCGTTACAAGATCACGATTTCAAACGAGCCCATTCTGTAAGGGGTTTCAAAACCTTTTGCAGTCGCAGATTTATAGTTGTCGTGTGGACGGGAGGTAAGAACAAAATTTGAAAATGTATTTATGAATACCGCCTAAGATTCCTAAAGAAAACGTTGCTATTGATCTTAAGCGTTTTTACAAATAAGAGGCTACAAATTACTCACTTGCTGAAAGTGTACCAGTATCACTGTTATAGTCCATGCTTTCAGTATCACCTGTTGGGAAGGACGCATCTCATTATAAAAAAATATAAAGGAAAATCGATGTATTCATACTCTTCTCTATAATTAATGTGTTTATTTTGCATGGCATAATTATGGATCATTTTGGTACATGAAATTGAATGTTATAATGCTGGATATGGCTTTGTGTTGAAAAGCATTAAACATTTGAAATAAAACTAATTTCTAAAGCAAATTGAAAATTTAGAGTTTATTGCTACTGTACAAACAATACATATTAATGAACTACTTTAATTTCACCGGGGAAAAAATTCAAACAAAAGATATGCGATAAGAGCGAGATATTAAGCAACACCATCAATTGGGGTAGTAAAGATAACTTTAACGTGATGGCAAATATGTGAAAAAGAGAAGGAACATAGCACCATTTGGAAATAGCGAAGTTTAAAAACATTCTAGCAGATTTTCGAGAGCTTATTTACAAAAAAGAATCCTAGAAATAAACAGTAATAATTTCAGAGGTATGACAGGCCAGTAAAGGGTCCTTTTTGAAAACATGGAGGTTGTGACTGAAAAGGATTACATTGAATTCTTTACTTCTAGTAAAAGCTACTTTTGCTTAAATCTAAGCTCCCAGGTTGTTTCTTTATATTTTAAGGAACGCTGGCAAGAAGCCTTGGCACCCACATCTTCTGCTTTTATAGCCCTAACATAAGCATGGGTGCATCTTCTATGGCGCAAAACCTGGCTACATTAACAATCTAGATTGACAGTGCATTCAGAGTGTCATTTACCTAGCATCAATTCCCCGTCTTCCTCAACGGCCCTGATGAGTCTCCTTCGCCACTCAGGGTGATCATCTTCGTTGAAAGAATCTTGCCGCATGTCGTCAGGGGGGATATCACCATAAACTAAGCTCTCTTGGCTGCCTCTGCAAATGAAAAATAACAAAGCTTCAAAAGAGAATTCGTGCTTGGTAAACTGGAAAAACTCCATGAGGGCAACATAAAAATTACTAATTTGTGTGCAATGGGAGTTTAACGGGAGTTCGACGGGGGTGCAACGGGTACTGATCTAATCGGCTGCATTTCTGCCATTATCTGCTATGGAATCTTCTGAGATTCGATCATAGGACAATTTAGGATCCTGCTATATTTTCTTAGCCGATACATATATTGAGCTCTCTTTAGAAAAACTAGCAGGGTACAGATTGTAGGAGTAAAGGGGATCCAGATTCTTGATACCTTTGGAATGTTTAATCCTTTCTTGCATTGGTTAAGAAAAGTAGGTTTAGTCAAGTCCAGAGTTAGCGCCGTGTTATTCTTGTTTGCCAAAGATTCAAAAGCTATGCCATTGAACTGGTCAAAGGTAGAACTTATGTGGAAAAATGTCTTGTTGGCAAGGTCGAAATGAAAAGGACCAAGGACGTTTATGACACAAACTCAGCTGCGTCCCGTCTACCAGCAGTAGCTTTTTTAATGCATTTGGGATTGGTTATTTAAAAAGGCCAGTTTCTGCAAGAATCGGGAATGAACAGGGAGCAGCAGACATATATTGATAGATTAAGTGTGTTTCATTACAAAGTTCTTTAACATCCTTGAACAAAAATATCATACTAAAACAAAAACTAAAATGGTCTTACGAAAACTGCTCAAAACAATAATACTCCTTGTTTCTTGAATTAAAGAGCTAGACAATCACAGACACAACAACAACTTTTACGTAAAGAATCGCAAACATCGTTATGGCTTATTGTTTAGAAAGGTTACATGGGGTATTTATTCTTCGCCATTTATCATGAATTGACAATAAGGTTTATGAGATTTGCACACATTTATCACCTAGTTAGAATTTACTGTTTTACAATCCTTTAAAGATCTAAAATCAACAAAGATACCCATAACATTTATGGAATTTAAGTAGAAGCCTTGGAAACATTTTTTTGAGGAAAATTTCATATAAAAAGCTAGTAATAAGTGCAATATATATATTGGTCAAAATATTGTCGAAGTATAGGTAGTTTCTCATAACTTTTTAATTTATCCATATTGTATAGAAATATTTGGTATTTAGCATTTCTTGTTTAAAATTGACACAGGGAAAATATTTTCGGTAGTTAAACAAGATTACATGTTGAATGTTAGCTGCTCTGAGCTAAAAAGAGCTTTAACATGCCAAATATGATGAAAGGAAAACTCCAGTAATGTAGTAATACATATCCAAGGGGATGTTTCACACTAAACCGGATTCATTTCGTACCGGATTCATTTCGTACCTGATTCACCTATGATCACAAGTTGACGCTACCTCCACACTCTTCCGAAATATCTATTGTCTATAAGCCGTTGCAGAGCAACGTGGAATATCGCCATTTTGGTTTCTATTTTCTTTGTGAGATCAAAAAGTGTGTTGAACAGTTTTGAAATAGAGACTGCAGTTTTTAAACAGAAGTTCCGTAGCAAAACCCTATTGGATTCATGCATTCACACAATCCTCAAAAGTGATCCGATACGGTTCCATACTACGTTCGAAGCGGAATGATTTGATTCGTATCAGATTCAATCGTCATCGTGTAAACAGAATGCCCAACAAATACCAAAAAGAATTCGATACGAAATGAATCCGGTATAGTGAGAACAGGGCCAATGTCGGCTCTAACAATCTTCAAAGAAACAATGCGCGTTGCTATGTGTGTGCATGTATGATTATCGTGTGCGCATGTGCATGATGAAGTCGGACTTACCGGCTTGGCTCAAAGTACAATGACATTAAAGATCCTTGCTTCTCAAGAAGATTTCTGTTTCTTTTGAGAGAATGGCAAAAGTTTAGTTGAAAGAAAGTGTAAATATTATAGATGGTGTTAGATGACATGATGGGCTTTGAAATATGATATTATAACGATTTAATAAATATTTTATTGCCATTAAATAGATTCATTTGATGGCAGCATTGAATACGCTTAAACCTTATTTATTAGTAAGGCATTTTATAAACAGCATGGTTAAGATATGACTTTAAACAAACGTTAGAATGATTATACAGTGGTAAAGCACACAACCGCAAAAAAATTTATTCCACCCTTATAAAACACACAAAAACAAACAAATACACACAATACTTAATATTTGTATAACATTTAGGAGTCATTTTGTTCGAGTCAATGAATGAAATTCACTCATGGTGAAATAAAATTTTACCTTGCCGAAGTGCTCGAATTTTGACGTCCTCGTTTCGTAGCACTGAAATATGAGCTCATGATTGAACCGGTTTTCTGCAAAGGTATCTTCCCCTGAAATGAAAATGTAAATTCAGAAAAAAAACCTAACTAAAAGGTGCAAGATGGAAAAAGAATCCTTCTCATGAGGCTTTTGGCATAAAAATGTTTGCCTTTTCTAAACGCTCAATTCGTAGAAATCTTAAAAAATATATCCTAGATTTGGAGAATATCTTATAGCATAACAAAAGACTTGCTATATTTGCTACAATTTTCCTCTTAACCAAACACTACTTTACATTGCGTATCAAAATTAAGCTGTATTTACCATGAAGAGGTCCTGTTCATATAATGTAATCCATTATGAATCCGAATTAATTATCATGAATTATCTAAATTTATCACAATTTCCTATTAAAATAGACAATCTTGATAAAGATGAACATAGCCTGTCTGAACTATGTAGCAAATACCCAAACTGTACACTTTCAAATAAATTTAAAGTTTGTATAAGTAACAGTCTGATTTACAAAAGTAAGAGCAACTACTGGTTAGTGAAACCTACCTCGGCCATATGAATCTCATCATCAAGACTCGTGGTTCGATCTGCTCGCTATAAATATAAGAATAATTAAATTATAATAAAATCTGGATGATATCGTGGTAGCAGAGCCAAAGTTTCCAAATAGCCTAGAGGAAGCAATCCACACTCGCATCAATATTCGTTTACACAATTTCATGTAGGAGAAAATTCTTATTGGCAATTCTCTGTTGAAAAAAAACTGATCTCTTCTTTAACAAATACAGAAAATCTAAATCTGCCCTGCAAAAATTATTTTTCTAAATCTCTTTAATAGAAAGAGCTCTAAATGCCAAATAACAAAAAGGCTGTACGCTGAAGATCATTAGCTTTTCTGTGAGTGTATCTCAAATTACGTACAAACAGATCAGTTACGGGTATAGTAGCGAAGAAGTGCCAGAAAAATTTGATTGCCGAAAGGGTTTTTCCTTTGGCATGAGGCTGGCTAATAATTGCCAGCCAGATCTTATAGATTGGACTTTAAATGATTGCCTAGCTTTTTAGTTGTACAAGATGAAAACCTACTGTCTTCCAGAAAGAAAATAAAGTAACGAAGCAGCAGAAATTTGTCACAGACTAAATATATTCCAGAAAGAGGCGTCGAATGTTGAAGGCAAATATCGGACTAGGCACAAGAAAAGCTTTTTTGTTTTTGATATTAATGAAACAGCTTTGTGATTTGATAGATCAATCTGAGAAAGGATGGAATATACATCAATATAAAAAGTAATATAAATATTTTTGTAGTAAAGCACATACCATCTTCATTGATGACTCAATAGCATCCTTGTCGTCTCTGAGTTTCTGGTTCATTTCTCTGCAAAAGAATTTGAATTTAGTGCATAAGTAAAAAGATATTTTTCTATATCATATTTATATATTTTATTTGTGCAGGGAAAATATATTTTTGAAGCTTAGGTCTTGACCTCTCAACCGACGAGAAAACCGAGGTATTTTTTTCAAACATTCCAAACCATCAAACCTTGAGGATATACATAGCCTTAAGGCATATGCGCTCTAAACATTTTCCGACCATACGTGAAAATATAAATATAAAGCCATAAATAAGAAAAAATGTACAGAAAAGTAAGTTGGAGAGGCGAAACTCAATGAGTACTTTGGTGATATTATACAAGAAAAAAATTGGATGGATATGTGCTGTGACTTAAAGAAAACTGCTGGCAGAGAAGCTCGTAAGTACAAGTCGTTTCTGATATAAACTGGTGGGTCTTTATCTAGATAGGCTGTACCACTTGTTTATAACTACAAGAAAGACTGTACCATATTGGCGGAAAAAAGAAACAACATTGGCCAATTTAATTTCAGTCGTTACACTCGAGGGTTCTCTGATTAACATTCTAGGTAACGTATGTAACAAACCCAGAACGAAAACAAAATCTGGATGTAATTGCCGGGTTTGTTTTTAATAATTTTAATTTCAGGCATTGTAAATAAGGTAGTGTTGGCTTTATCAACTTTTCTTTTATCCAACAGTAAGTAAATAAAATAGTTTGCATTAATCACTTTAAATACGTAACATCGAATTTTTCAAATGTGGCAACCTTAATAAACAAAATAATGCCTTGATTGTTATGCAGTAACAACCAGGGCAATAGAGAAGAGTGAGGACTCACCGGAGCATATCTAATTGACGAATCAAGCTTTCATGTTCTTTCTGCATTCCATGTGATGCTTGCATGGCAGCACTAAAAGAACGTACAACAGATCAGAAATTAATATGAAAAGATTAAAAACCTTCTTTGCATTGCTAATTTTGCTATTGAATCGGTTCATTATCGCTATAGAATAATGAAACATAATTAAGGACCGTTAAAGATTGAAAAAACATGGAAATATAAAATCAAGTTTATTCAACAGATGGTTTGAATCCTAAAGCTCTCTCCGAAAATCCCCCATTTGCTTTGGAATATAAAATTGAAAGACGTACCGTATCCGGTCTCTTTTTTCCTTAGCTGTCGAGGCTTGCAATGTTGAGACGTACACTTGTGTGTCTTCCAAGCTTGACACCGAGGTTTTCAGCCTTTCTTCCAGTTCAGAATTTTGCTAAAATTATATAAAATAAAAGGAAAATGTATTAATCATCCAAGCGATCAATGTGATTAAAACAAAAATGTTGTTTTCACAAAGTACAAAACTATCAGAATAAAGTTATGATTTAGGCATTCTTATTGTCACTTTGAGTTACCCGGAACAAGATCTCACTAGTTTTTGCTGAAATGTGGTAAAATATCGAAGTAGCCAGCCATAAGAACTTCTATGCTGAAATTATCAGGCAAAACAAGCTATACCAATTTCCATGCGACACTTAAACAATAACAAACGGCTTGTGTGTAGCTGTCGGCTACACTGAATGCAACTTTGGCTGCTTATGAAAGGAATTTGATTGATAAATTTACCTGCACTAGTTTTATGTTCTCCTGCTTCAAATTATGTTCGTGTTGTTGGATTTCGAAGAGCCGTTCTTCCAACTGTGAGAAGAAATAAAAGCAAATGAAATTTATGAAATACAAAAACAAATAAAAAATGCTAAAAATTGGTTGTCAAATGGAACATAACACAAAGAGAACATTCATATCTTTTATTAATAGGAGAATAGTCAACGATATAATTCGAATCAATAACAAATGACCAAGACACGAAGCCAAACAGATCCATCTTAAAACATGTAACCATCTTGTGAGGTAAAATGAAATGCCTTCCCAAGGTAGAACGGCAGTCGTTATGATGGTATCAGACGCTTATTCCAAATGCTTATCAAGTATCTAGGTCTTAGAAATACGAAGGTCAGAAGGTGCAACGTCCCAGCATCATAAGAATCTTTCTCCAAACTGATTACCCCGTTTCCTTTCCTAGTATATCTGTATTTCTGTATAATATTCAACATCTTTTCAATGTGAAAATGGACTTGGAGGGCTAGAAAATCCATGGCCTCTGCATTCAAAATCTCTATAAATCGATCAATGCTCAATATGGATGTGACATCGAGAAACATGTTGGGTTCTTTTATGAAATCAAATCGTTCAAATCACATCTTTAAACGCTTCAAAGCCAACAAGTAGCAAATCAGACTGGAAATACCACTACGAAAGCCCGCGAAAGCCACCGGTCTCATTGTCCATGATAAAGATAGGCCAAGCTCCGAGTATTATTTTCATGACAAAGTGACATTCTGTCTTATTCGATACACCAATTTAGGTTGAAGAAACATGTGAGACCATACTACAAGAAATGGCCAACATCATAAACTATCAAATGATGTGACTAGCATTTCAGATGCACGCATCAACAGAAACAACTCTCGAAAATGCACACAAAAATACCAACAGATTACACCAAAAACATTCATATACCAATGCCAGTCATACACCAATACCTGGCCATAAGCATAAGAAGAATCAATTCTTGCGATTGTATAGAACAATCGGTGCAAAAACCGCTAATAAATAAAACTTATTCAAAATCGCTTGAACAGACAGGTGGGCACAAATATTGGCAATAAGCTAATTGACAACTGCTTATAGATAAAATTAACTGATCGTGTGCAAAATGGTCTTGGAAATCTACCATAGCAACCATAGCATTGCAAAAATTACTAGCCTGATCAGGGCTTAGAGCCCCATTTTTTGTCAAAACTTCCCTGAACCATGCCATGATTAATCTTTGTATTGGCTTTTAGCAAGTGTGTGCCTTATTTCCACACAACCGCGCCCCAAAAACAAGGAATGCTGAAAAGATATACTATGGCGATTCGTTTTCAAACATATCTGCAACTTTTACATTGACTATATTTTCCATATCCCATGATTTAATATTATTTTCATGCTGATTGTTCAACATAAGCTAACTCCACAAGGGCATCAGTTGCAGACTTCCGAAGCCAATGTAACAGGGCCCCATCTATAGTGACTAGCTTACTCCAGGCCTTATTTATGCTTTTATCCAATAACCCACTCGCCCCTTTACAACGATGTTTATGCAAAGCAAGCCTAAACACTTGCTCCGCATAACTTGCTTTCTTGGCATTATTTTGGCGGAAAGAAGATCATAAAGAGGAGCACCAATATATGAAAATAAGGCATACACAACACTGGACTTTTCTGACATTCTAGGTAAGGCTTATTGGCAAATTTACAAAATCGTTATTACGAGGTGCGTTCAGAAAGTTTGTGGATTTGAAACTGGTCAAACATTACATTTTCGTTGTCTCATTTCACAAGAAAGAATCGTACCCATCTCTTGCTGTTAAGGGTGTTTTACTTGTGTTTAGGGACCAAACAAAGTATTAGTTTTGTACGCATAATTAATACGCATATGACCCTACGCATTTATATATCAGAAGATCAAGTGGCAAATAGAATTAGTCTATTTACCTCGCGTTGAGTCGTCATCAACCTTGTAAGCTGAGAATCTTTATCTTCAAGCTGAATTTTCATCTCTTCTCTTATCATTTTCTCTCTTCTTGCTTCCTAAGGGACAAACAAAGAGAAAAATCCTGTTTAAAGGACTGTAGAAATCCATTACAAGCTGTCAGTATTATTTACCAATAAAAATCTTTTGCGTGTAAGGTGAACGTTTAACCGAAATTATTTGACATTATTTGTGAAATAAACTAGCGTGGCTTGGCGGGATTGGAGATTTTATCGCTTCAAGATTCCTTATTTCTGGTAATTCCTGATCTGTTGGTGGATGGATGACGTCAAACAGCATTGCATTATCTTGCATGGCCAGACGAGATCAAGAAAACAGAAATGATATCATATCAACTAGAGTATATGATTTCGGTGTCATGTTGACTCTTTAAATATACTAAATTGCGTACGATCAATATAATACATAATAATGATGAATGTAAGTAAATTGTACCAGGAATAAATAATAGATTAGTGAATAACGATGTTTCCAGCATAGCCCGTTATCAAGTTAAATTGAAAAGCGACGATTAACAAATTGCAGCATAAACAAAGCGCATTAGTAAAACAAAATTAAGCCTAGGGAAGACGGAACTTGAACAGTTTCTAGTAGTACATGGCTCGTACATGCGAAAAGAGTCTGCGTCGAGCCAACTGTCTGGCAATTTCGTACAAAGGTTTGTTTTTGGACATCCTTCAAGATTTAATGAAATTTATAACTGGGCACCCTTGGCCACCTCCTCGCAGAAAAGTTCTATTTTTATAAACATTTGAAGCAAAAACAAAAGGTGTCAAGCAATTATCTTTTAGACACTAAGAAATTAAAGACAATCTCAAATACGACTTTAGTTTGAGAATAATAAGTCGATATCAGGTTTTTTTCGTTTTCTCAACAGGTTCTACGTTATAGCATCTAGTAATCTTCAAACACAACGAATGACATACCAGGTCGTTTATCTTGGTTTTTTCAGTTTTAATTTGCTGTTCCATTTCCTCATACAATTTCTGTACTTCTATATCGTGCGACAGTGCTTTTCTGCAAAATAAATTTATTTGAGTTATTGCCTTTACTAAAAAATCTTAAATAGTAATACATTAAAACGTTCAATATTCGCAGTGCTCTTTAGCTGCTTTCTGTGTAAAGGACATTAGATCCGATGTTTTCAAATTTACACGTAATTAAATAGTTAAGTAATGTTCTAGAACAGTGACAGTCAAGCCAAATGGCTATATTAGTACCGACTTGAAAACTACTACCACACGGCAAAAATCACGTCATAAAAAAGATACATTAAAAACATGTTATTCATAAACATCGGAGAAATATTTCAACTGAAGAATCCAATTTTGCAGAAACAGCTATCAAACTCCACGATTACCAAACTCAAGTCGCCATAAATTTAAGAATTCATTTATTAAAATATTGTACACAAGTCAAAGCACTGTAAAATATCCGGCAAATGGCAAAAAAACGGACTACTTGACCAAAGAAACAGCGAGTCACCTGTAGCCCCCAAGTTTTAAAAATGCGAAAAACCGTGCATCAAAAACGAAAGTTTTTAATCCATTCGTTTCAAACCAAGGCTTTTGAATAACATATCCATGACGTTCTTATGTAGAGAAGTCTCTGTTTTTCTCTGAAGTTAAAAGGCCTAATGTTCAAAGTGACAGCCCCATGGCATATGACTGTCTTATTTGCGAAACTTCAATGACAAACTCTCATGAAATTTTTATGCACTGCTAAAATCAAGCTTAAGATTAATAAATGTCAGCTGTTATCAAAAAAAATTTCAGAAACTCCGCAGTTTGGTAATTTACTGAAGTAATTGTCGGACAAACATCACATACTCCGTTTTGAATTGTGTACAATACAAATCAGAATTTTACTTAGGCCAGATGAGAGATTTATGTTAAAATAACGGTAACGGACATATGGGAGGAGATGATTTAGCAGTAAAGCAAACAACTCGCGTGCTTTCAGATTCTTACATCGGGGGATGATGTGAAATGAAGAACAATCAATAATTAAGCACAATTTACGATATAATGGTTAAGGGCCCACAAAAAAGTAAATTAAGGCAACTTTAACGAATTGAAAGTAATATGACGCTGGTTAGTTATGATAATCAAAGGCAGATAATATATTATAATAGTAAAGGTTCATAAAATGTTACTAGACGGAAAAAAAATAAAAATTTTCTATAATAGGTCTTCAGGTTATCGAAAAAGTTTTAATAGTAGATTTTGATTTGAACTACACAAAAAATAAACTTATGGAACAGGTTCTCTTGGGAGAGAATATTTCTGCTAGGTTCTTAAATTCTTAAATTGTTTCTTAGATTTTTTGTTAGTTTCTTAGAGCAATGATTTTTAAATTGTTTCTTAGATTTTTTGCTGTTTCTTGATAGAGAAAATGTACTGCCCTTTTTCAAAAGATGCTCTGAATTTAAAAAACTTTGGCTGAATTGTCTCAAAAAGATTCCAGGAACTTTTTGGATGATACGAGATAGGATGTTAAACTGAATTGCTCAAACAGAATTACTGAATAACTGATCAATAAAAAAGCAAAAAGTGAATGCTTAAATGGCTGAATGAATTATTAATGATCCTTCTTTAAATGCCTTCCTTTATCAAGTACTCCCCCCAGGGCATGAGAAAATTGTTTCCTCTCTGCAACCAGACAAAAATCATGCATAAATTTCCTGTGAGAATGGGACGCCACAAACCCTAATGATGTGTCACTAGTTTTATGTAACAAAGATTCTTAATCCAGATGAAAACTGTCAACTTTTATCAAACAAGAATTTTCAAAAACATTCTCAAGGGTTCTTCGGTAGAAAACCCATTTTAACCTGTACAAGGCATACATATAAGATACATTTGTTTCGCCTTCATGTTCTTCTTTTGATAAAAATGGAAGAAACAAAGGTATATTTCAAATGCTTTTTGCAAAAGAGTATATTTCAAAAAATTTCCTGCAGAACTTTATTCATGAAAAATTTCCTGTGATTGTCCAGTCACTTGGTTGAGTAAGTTTTCATGCCCTGTCCCCTCCCCCTCAATTGGTGAGCAAGACCTTAATTACAACCAAACATTTAATAGAGGATTTACTGCATGTCTAGTTTAAATCTTTCTCTTGCAAAAGACAAACAGGAAGCAGCAATCCAAGAACAAATAGAAATAAGCCAAGAAATTACCTTTTTAAAGTGTTTTCCAAATGGACAGTTTCTTGCCTTGCTCTCTTAATTTCACTTGTTATATTAATAAGAAATTCTTCAAATCTTGTCAATGTCCTGACATCTGTTTGCTGTAACGTTTTCCATAGCTCGGCAAGCTGCTCTTTGGTGAGAGAACTAAAAGGGAAATATATTTTTCACCATCAATCAAAAATGAAACCAGCTCAATTTGAGACAAGAGACAAGATTGAGACACATTGAGACAAGAGTCTCTCTGTTTGTTAGTGCACAAACATTCAAGAGAGTGCTTTTCTCATTGTTTTGAAAATAGACAATTGAGAAATCTTGTTTATGTAAAAATATTATAGAGGTTGTACAAACGTATTTGTATCCAATTTTTAAGTAAGCAAAGAATGTTCCTACAGTTTTTGAGATAGGCAGACTGTACAGAGAGATAAAGAATTTGGTGTTGCAAATCTACTTGAGTTTTCAGACAAATCATCAAATGTATATTAATAATTAGACCCATCTTGCACACAATACCCAGTGTAGATAGACAGGTGCCAAGATGACAGTAAAACATATTTACTTTCTACAGAATTAGTTTATTCTAATACCAATTTTATTCCATAATGTTTCAAACTGATGACAGATTTCAGGAACTTTATACATAATTTATAATCAAATTTATTAAGATGTGATAGCCACAAGTCAATTTCAAAAAACTTTTGTTTAGTAAAAAGCATGTGCAACTCTATTTCTGGGTATGAAATCATGTTACAATACAATAGACTTAAAGGTAGTTATGCTGCCAAGTCAACTTGATCACTTGATCATGTACAGGAGAAGTAGCAGGCTTTATTGAGTAGAGTTAAGCTTGTAAAGAGAGTTGCTTCTTTATTTATGAATATTATGTCAGGCTGATCTGCAAGTGTAGACTTTGGTGAACTGTGATTGAATTCTAGGTATTTCCAATGTCAGTTAACCATGGTAGGTGAGAAATTTCAAGTTTAACAGCCATCATTTTTATTTGCTACCTCTAATGGTTGATGCTCTAGAGGGTCCCCATCTCCACAGCGTAACAGCTGTATCTCATCGTACATTTAAACCTGCTAGGGATGACTGAGCCCCCGTCAAAAAAGCTCTGAAAGATCTAGAAGAATACAAGCTACCATGCCCTCTTGGCTCATGTGAAATCTGTCCTTTAAACCCTTTACCTTGTATTCAAAACCATTGGAATTATTTTTATCTAAATCACAAGTTGAATTACATATTTTGTCACATACAAACTTGACAAACAACGTATGTATGCAAGTATGTAAGTTAAATATGTGTAAAATGCTAAGAAATTGGAACGTTTTATTGATACACAGCTTATCGATATAACAAGTTTTGTGTGACTCCAGTCAACTGAAACAGCAAGAAAATATTAATGAAATAAACTGGGAGAATAAAAGGTGCTTACTCTGCGATGCATTCATCTATATTGTTGATTAGAAGCTTAGCGTTTGAGTCCAACTGCTCAACTGATGGTTGCTTTACAAATGTTATCACATCGGTGCTACAATATTTGGGGTCATTATCAGCGCCATACTGATTAAAGCTCCCTTGACGACCAAACTCTGCCTGCTCATGGTCGTCGAATGAGTCGTCCAAGTATTCGCTAAAGCCAGTTGTGAATTCATGAATAGTTAAAAATCCATTTTGATCGTCATCTAACTGGTCGAAAATCAAAATCAACTGATCCTTCGTCAATCCTAGAGTCTTCATCAATCGCAACAAATCGGTCTTGGTTACGTAGCCTTTACTTCCTTCGTCACAAAGGTCAAACAGCTCCCTCGCCTTCTCTTGTCGTTTCCTCTCTTCCGGGTTTAAGTCCTCCTGGTGTTCAACTCCGAGAAATACCCCAAATCCACCAATAAACTCATCAAGTGTTAGAAACTTATTTTCATCTGTATCAAGTTTTACAAAAGCAGATTGCACTTGGTCGGAACTCAAGGCCAACTCTTTTGTAAGTTCCAGTAGATCTTCCTGTGTGATATATCCTTTGCCATCTTTGTCACAAACTTTAAATAATTCTGTAGCTTTCTGCGCCAGTATCTCCTTCAAATCATCCTGGCCAAAATTTGCATAATCCATGTTTGTATCTCTGTGAATAAATACAGGTTTTAGTAAAGGGTTGAAAGAGTTGCAAGCGCATTTTCAAAGGCCTACTACGTCTGTAACACAATGGTGCTACGCTTCATGGAGCACCGTTGGTAATGGAAACTTTTGTATTCCCCGCGAGAAATCAAAATTATAAACAACTAAGATGGCGGGAAACAAAATGGCTACCATTAACCGCATGACAAGCACGAGCGTCGATAGAATAAGCAAACTCTGCTCTTTCTACTTGATAAATATAAAAAGGCTGCGGAAGATGGGATGGGGTGGAAAGGCAAAGGAGCAAGTGCCTCCCTCTCCCTCATGCTAATGGCATGATTTATGGTTATAAAGGAAATACTACATCACTTTCTGGTTGTAGTGCCGTTTCATTATCATTTGCGTGCTCGTAGCTGTTGACATTTGATGTAACCTATGACTCAGTTATTTTTGCCTTAATAAACTCTCAGTGTACAGAAAGATGAACACAATTAAATTTCTTAAGAAATTGTCAGCTCCCACTGTCCCTGTATCTCCAGCCCAATACCCCCCAATACCTAGCTTTGCCCACCAACAACACTTTCATATAATATTCTTTCGGCTTCATTAAGACCGCAGTCTGCTGCCAAAATTTGCATTAAACTACCACTGCAATTGCTCAATTTCTCTTTATGCTGTCCTAATTTTGGTATAGCTTCGAACTATGGAGCTTGAGTGAATTTGTTTTAAAATCGAACAACAATTAATTACATGCCCACTAATTGACAAAGGATGATTAGAAACCGTCTACCAATAATTGAACACTATTTGGCCTAGTCTTTTGTTATACATGTGTTAAACCTTGTAATTTTTTCAATAGGGAACAATTCTTGTCTTTTCCATTTTTGAAACAATTCAGCTTCAAACCTGTACACAGTTTTCTTGCGTCACGCAGACCTTACATTTCCTCTATTCGTAAAGTTTGCACTCAGGCTGAAAGACAATTAGATCTTCTCACAAAATCAATGCAAAAGGAAATGGGAAATACATTGGCCAACACGATACGTAATTTTTCGCCCCGCTATTCAGTTCCTTGTTATTTTATGTGAAAAATGTTTTAATCTGAAAGAGCGATTTATACGTTGTAAAGATTGGTAATTAAACCATTCAGACAAGAACACAAAATTCCCATCTCTTTGATTCTAGCAAACATATGGAAAATAGTGAATTTCAAACTTACACTTGCTCGTATCTGGAAGCCTCAGACAACAGTTTTGAACTTCCAGCGTTAGTATGTTGTGGTGGTGTTACGCGTATTTTGATTAGTGTCACAAAGGAATCGCAAATTCTATTTGTTGGATCGAAAGTAAATCATCGAGGAAAAATGTCATTTAATGGTCCATTGATGAGGCAAAGGTTTGAACAGAGGCATTGTGCAAGCATTGTTACCTTGAGCTATTATGATACTGGATAATTGATTTATTATTGTAAACAATAAACCATCTAGATATTAGTCGGCGAGCCATGTGGGCAGATAACATTGTACGCTTAAATGCCAAAAATAGAAAGCAAATTAAATGCATGGCTACCTAGGCACCAAATTTATACTCTTATTTTCAATTTTACTCTTAAACTGGCTGCAGGCTTTGCTAATTTTCGATACAGTTGTTGTAGTGATAACTTCATGTGCATTGGCTTATGATCTTTCTTTATGAAAATGTAGTGTGAGCATTTAAAACTCTACATTAAAGTGAAGCCTCATTAACTCTTCACAACCAATCCAAAGAAACGAATGACGTCACAAGGAAGTGTAGGGGTTCCTTAGAAACGACTTTTTGATAACAAGCTTGCTTCACCCACCTAACTGAGAAGGAGGTATATAAATATAGAGCAGGCCGCAGTAGGACGACATAATCTCCAGAAGTAGTCCTTATTTACAGACCAAAGTGCTTCATTTTGGAAAACGCATATCAATTCTTACAAACCCTAAAAAGACCCAAGAATGCCGGAGATTTCAATTGGGAAACAAACCTTGCAGAGTTTTGGAACAAAAGCCACCAGCACTACAAATCATTTGACTTAAGGTTTCCTCTCCATAACTCTTTCATTTTCAGACGCAGGATCATTTATGGGGCAGAGCGTTTTAACCAATACGGAAGCTAAACTTTGCACGCTTTAAATGACGCAAAACCAGCTATTTTCCGTGATATTAGTCGTTATTTCCTTATCATGATAAATGTGTGAATTTGGCTTGTGTTTTTCCACGATTCTTCTCAAAACGTGCTCGTTCCTGATCGTTCTTTCTCTGTGCCTATATTTATCCAGCTGTTTGGACACCAGTAACGACAAAAGGGTGTTTGAGAAAATCTAGAGCAAGTCGGTACTTATCAGACCCAGACTTTTGGAAGCTAACAGAACTGCTAATTTTGACTGTCTTTGCCTACCCCTTTTTTAACCGGACTAAAACTCACAAAGGCTTTTAAGGAAATGGGAGGGACGCCGCGGAGAGGTGATGTCATGATAAAAGTCCTTTTCGACCCCTCTTTTGTTTAACGTCGTTTCATTTAATGAAAGGATTCCCCAATTTTTGTCAAAAAATCAGTTATCGTATTTTATAGTTCTAATGAAATTTCTTTTTTCCTGTTCATTGTGCCTTTTGGTTCCAGGCATTTTTTGTCCAAAACCTTTAAAAACCTTGATTTTCTCAAACATCGTCAATAAGGATCTCAAAGACACTAATCCTAAACATAAGCAAGCTAAAGTAGTTCTTAGAAAAAAAATTCAATAAGATTAATCATCATAATTGTTTGTTTATCTAAATCAGACAGCCTGCATTATCAAACCTGAGAAAACTGCTTGATTGTTTCTGGGAAAGGGCAGTCGTCACTGACAGATCTTAATCAGCCTTTAAAAATGTATTGCGAATCTTTAAAATCTTTGATTTTGCTTGCTGAGAGTGCCAAGAACATAAAAAGAACATTTACATTTTGGGTTTTAGTATTGAGCAAGAAAACAATCTAAAAGGACGGACATAAATGCCTTCCCCCGTGTACAACAACAGAGCACGTGTAGCAGATTGCTTCTTCTACGACAGTTCATTCATTTTGCTATTTTTTATATTCCTTCCCTTTTTCCAGCTTTCATTTCATCTCAGTGAACAGTATTCAAACGACATAACTAAACGTTCTTATTTCAATATTTTTCATATCTATAAAATTAAATGCTCTTCAAAAGTTTAGCTATATCATATTAGTTCAATTTGTTTTGAAAAGGTCATTTTAACACCGACTGCAGCCACAGACTGCATTATGTTGTTTGCTTTTAGGTAGTTTTTGAGACACTGAGAAGCTATGGTTATCGAACTTTTAAGGCTGGTTTGTCTTGTCACCCGCAAACCGAGGTGACGTTTATCAAAAACTGAAGAATAAATCACATAATAACATAACTTACCCGTCATCATTGTTGTCGCCAACGCCATTCGTGAAAACTTCTTCATCCATGGAAACAGTTTCGTCTGCATCAACAGCATTTGTTAGATTTTCAAGACCTTCTTCGAAATCTTTGAAAGTAAGCACAGTTCTTCCCTTTTTACTCAATGCAAGAAAGATCGATTGTATTTCCTCTTGAGTCAAATTGAACTCGCCACCCACTGACTGCAAATCTTCTTGGGTTATAAAGCCTTTCCCATTTCTGTCTATATAGTCAAAGAGCTGCGAAGAATCTGATATTTCTTGGTGATTAAAACTTTTGCTTGAGACTTGTCGCGTCCCGAGAAATACGTCAAACCCCTCCATGAACTCATCTAGACTTAGTGATCCATTTTTGTCTTTATCAAGATAATAGAACGCGCTGTTCACTTCTTCTTTCGTCAAAGCAATTTCCTTTGTTAGTCGAAACAGCTCTTCTCGTGTGACGTAACCCTTCTTTTCTTCGTCACAAATACTGAAAAGGCGCCTGATTCGAGAACTGACCTTTCGCTTGTGCATCGACTGTCTGATGTGTACACGACGAAATGCTTTCTTCTCTAAGGTGATAGAGCTCATTCTTTTCACACTGAGTCATGCAATGTACCTGTTCAGAGAGAAAAGAAAAAGCTGAAATGTCACAGACGCAATATCGTCGCTCTTCACTACATTAAAGAGCCTATCGAATATTCATTAGGCCCCTTTATAATGCGATGAGAAAAACTAATGAACATAAATAATCAGTAAATGTAACTTCTGTTATCGGACACCACACAGTTATGGACACATTCCAATAACAGAAATCAACCAATTGCAAAAACTGCAAAACTGAGCTTTTCCAAGGATATACGACTCTTATAAACAACTAATGAATATAAAGGCGATATCAAATCTCTGAATGGATTAGCCCAAAAATTAATTTCCAGATTGGTCTACAATGGCTTTGATTTACGAAAACTGACCAAAGGCTCCTTAAGAAAATCCCCGAAAAAAAACAATAAACTTCTCCTATGAGGAGCTTGGCACTGGAATAGCTTGAGTCCATACGGGCGGCCAGTTGAATATTTTTTAAAATTTTTTTTGTGTGTAATCACTTTAATACATGTGTTGAGTTGGTTTTATGATTCTTAGTAGAAAAAATTGTAGAAAATGTAACTATGAAAGGCAATTAAAGGCTAAGAGCATCAAAACTGCGATTTGGTACATAGGAATTACTGTTTTATTTTGCAAGCGTTGAAAGGCTACGCTCCGCAATGATGTTAAATGAAACAAATGAACTGAAATGACCGTCTCCCAATAACAGATATCACAAAGTGGCGGGGACACCGCTCAATCGAAAAACACTTTTTTCTCAAGTTGTTTAACTGCTGTCAGTGCTTGTTGGTTCTGATACATCGTTATGATAGAATATTATATTGTACTGTTTTTTTAATACTGGTAGGCTCAGTTCATTTATACAGACAAATTCTTGAAGATTTGGAAATAAAGCAAATTTATATGAAGATGAAAAGTCAGTATCAGCTAAATATATCATTGGCATTTGACGAACTTTTGAATAGAATATGCCAATGACCATGATTAAACGAATGACTTGACTGCATTTTAGCGCCATATTCAACGTTCCTAGCCTAGGATTTTAGCGCAAAAATCAATTTTTAACTTGTCATAAATTATTTGTTAATCAAGACGTAGCAAAAGTTAACTAAGGTTTCAAGTAAAGAAAAAATATTATAAATGAACAGAACTTGAAATGAACCTAGGCCTATATTAGGTAACACGAATGCTTTATACCATATCAAAGAAGCCGGAAAAACAGCAGAATGACACCGAATATCCTCTGCCATGTATTGTAAATCAAGAACCATTTTAATTCAGTTAAAATCAGCCTTCGTTGAGATCTGGTTTTTCTAAATCGTAACAGGACATTGGTTGTGATCCCCGATTTGCGAGACTCATAATGCTCAACCTTCCTTGTGCCGGTAAAATTCATAACTGAACTTTGGCGCCAACTGCCAACACTTTCTCAACCGAAGAGTCTGGGTCCAAGTTCTAAGATTCAAGCCTAGATCTGCGAGTAATCGCGGGAATTGTACGTGTCATTTTGTATGTTGAATTACTCAGATGTGTTTCTAGACTAAAATTGGTGATTGCCACATCGCCACCTACAAAAATTTTAAAAGTGGTCCCCTATTAAGTAAACATTTCAAAATTTATGCATCAATCATACGCGTAAGTTTTGCTGATTCAAAACAATGACATCTCCTGGGCCCCAGGGGCGCCTACCCTGGAGTGAAGGGGCTGCAGTTGCAGCTGCTCCTCCTGCCTTCTTCCAGCAGGGGCAGAGGGGGCAAGCAGTGCCCTTAAATATTCGCTTCCAAGTTAATTTCCATAAAAAATTCAAAAAAATAAAAAATCTCGTTCTCTGCTGACGGTCATTGAAAATGGAAAATTCTTTTCCAGAAAATGATAATAAACTTCAAAAGCAACAGTTTCTGATAAGATTCTGACTATTTTGTCCATCACCAGAACAAGAATGTCACGCTAAGTTCATGCTTACTATAAATATAATAAAATAATATAATGAAATTATATAATAAAAACATGCTGTTGTAAACAATTATTTGATTTACATTAGATTATTGTGATTATTATTTTCCATTCTACACTCTCATTGATTCTGCAACCATAGAGACTAAGCGGAACATCAAAGTCTTCCAGCCAGCCCATTTTTAATTTCCATGATTTTCGTAAAACCAAACTTTTCTGATAATGACGAGGCCATTTAATACCCACTTGCATGGAGAATTTTGTCAACCTATGACTATCTTTAGAGTCTTTGCTTGAACAAATCCCAGCTGTATGGGTGGAACAGGTCGATGCCAATATTTTATTTTGCACCCATCCCCCAACCCCTCACAAATTATACTATTTGCCCTTAGAACCAACACTGCCCCTGCTAGGCCCTACCGAATGAACCGACATTTACGTTCAGCCATTGAAATTTTCTTAAGGAAAATTATGCATTGCACATAACCGACGATTCAAAAAGAAGCAACCAACAAGAAGCAACTTGAGTCTCGAAGCCTCAAATAAATTGATGAGCTGTTTTACAAATTATAGAAATTCTCAGGCTTAGCAAAAATGAACAAGCACAACTCCACGAAGAGCTCCTAGCGTTTTCTTCGATTTTACCACAAAATCACTCGAATCATTGAAGATGACGCAATATTAATTGAAATTTTTGCTATGGGAGAGGACGAAGTAGGACAACATGAAGGATAGTAAAAAAAAGCTCGATATATTCCTTGTTTGAAGCGGGGAGTCTTATGCAAGTTGAAAAACTGTTGACTGTCTGAAACAATTTTTTCGATTATCAAAAAGAATCTAGAAATGTAGATACTTTACTTTCAGAGCCCCAAAGACACCCTGGAAGAATTGCAAGGGCTATGATCATTATCCTCGACAAAAAATATAATCGTTTATCATTTTACTGATTCGAATTGTACCTATGATGAAAAGAAAATCGTGTCTGGCATTTTACAAAACTCTGATAAGCGGGGGATAAGCCAAAAAGGGTAGAAGCTGGATGGTTCAAGCTTGTTTTGAATTTTTAATCAGCTAGAAAACAAATACAATATAATTGCTATTTTTATTGTTTTGACCGTTTTACTGAGACTTGACTAGGAGTACCACGGTGGAGGGCTCGGGGGCTCATTCTCTTTGTTAAAATCTAGAAGCTTCTTTGTCAAGCGTTGTTTGGATGAATTTTGTGTTGCCAACTCTTTAGTATGCTATAGATTTGTCGGTGAATGAGCAATACCTTTTTCCTGAGTCCCTTGTTATTTGGGTGTGATCATGAGTGGGGCATCTAGAAGTTGGCTTGAGGCACCTCTGGGCTTGAAACATTTTCAATTATATTTAACCCTGGTTTTTGTGAATTTTATCATTAATTTTTTCGTTTATTTGTAAATGGCAATGGTAAGTGTACAATAAAGCTGTAATAAAAGTGTTGTTACCATATCATTGTTATGTAAATGATCGATATTTACGATATTTACGTTACGATATTATATAAAATTTACGTTGTAATAAACTAATGATAAGCTCATTTGAAACCATTAAGAGTTATCATTTATAATATAGTTATACTTAACAGTAGAATCATCGGAAGTTCTGAAAGAGTATAATATCGATTTTCAGTATCAAATGCTCAACAATGATAGAAAACAATGAGCAATGTTTTTGCCTACAACGCAACATAGGCAATGTCACGTGATATTTTGGCGCGCTTTTGTGGAAAACGTCAGTTTTCTGTACGCGAACTTTCTTTCGCAGAAGAAGTACAACGAAACAGACGTTTGTGTGATTTGTAGAAGAAATTCGTTACCTTGAGAGTTTTATGAAGGTAATTTTCAATCTTAATTAGAGCGGCAAGCACCCAAAGACACTCTGAAACTGATGTCTCTAACTATTTTCTTATTTGAAGATTGAAGCTTCATGAAAAATGTCAATGATGTGCTTTCAACGTAAAAATACAGATATCCTACGCCATCGAAAGTTAAAAAATTACTTTTTATGTTTATTCAGCTTTGTGGATTGAGCTTACTTTATAGTCTGTTTAGAAATAATACTATACTTGTTATAGTAAGAATTTTTTAATTAAACGGATTTTTAAGATCGCCATTTGAGTAATGAAGAACGACCGGACGTTGATGATAGCCACGAAGAACAACCGATTTTAATGAGCTTTGGCCTTCCTTGGTCTTCAAAGGATTTGCCATTGTTTCAGCAATTTTTTTCATTTACAGAAATAATGGAAATTTGTGACGAAGAAGAGCTAACGGAGTATGAGATTATCAGGCAAAGAAATATTATTCACAACTACGAGTTCATGAAAAGTTGTGGTAAATATCGTCTTATTTTACTATGTAACACGCCTGCACAAGATGAAGGCAGGAGGGGCAGTGTTGGAAAATAATAACAACAAGAATCAGATGTAAATCAAATAATTGTTTACTTCGGCGTGTTTTTTATACCAAGGCATAAACTAAGCGTGACATCCTTGTTCCGAAGATGGGCAAAATAGTCAGTATCTTATAAGAAACTGTTGGTTTTTGAAGTTTATTATCGTCTTCTGAAAAATAGTTTTTCATTATCAGAGACCGACAGCAAAAAAGGGAGATTTTTCTATTTTTTGAATTTCTAAAGGAAATTAACATAACAAGAATGGCTAAACTAGTCATCAATTATGTCAAGATTCTTTAAGCTTTTATCAGGAGGGAATATTTAAGGGCCATGCTTGCCCCATCTGCTCACCCTGGAAGAGGGCAGCTGCCCCCTATATGTAACCAAAACCATTAGGCTATTTTTTTATAAAAAAATTTTTCTCTAGAAATTACATATTGTTTAATAAACAATGCAAATTTTTTGCAGGGCTCCCTGTTAAGCCATTGCTGTATGTCAAGAGAAAAAAAGTTGAAAATGTTTCCGATGAAGACTATTTTTCAACTGGCTCAGAGAGTGATAAAGAAGACAAGCCTTGGTTTCCCAATCAAACCGAAGCTAAAAAACAGAAAATTGAACAAGAGAAAAGCGTCGATAAAAGGTTCAAACCAGGTAAGAGAAAGTTAAATAGTATTTTGGTCGTGGGTAATGACGGTTAGCCTATTTTAGAATAAAGTTTTTCAAACAAGCATGATAAAGGTTATCATAAAATCTGTAGAGGCCTAGTTATGTTCATGTAATTTATAAAGATATATCCTTTTTTAAGATCTTTTTGTTATCCGTTATGTTTTATAACGGTGTTATGGTTATCCTTGGCGATTGGTGAACTGAATAGGCCCATAGCTGCATTTCACATCCTTCCCGCCAAAGATCTAGCGAGTCCTAATTTTGCTCCATTTTTCTTATACATTTTGCTTGGCGGCGTAAGATGGCGTGAATATTAAGAAGGCAAAGACTATCAGCAGTGAAACCTGAGCTTTCTGAAAAAGACCCATGAATATTTTTAACGTTTATACTAAGAGCTCCCAAACAAGAAAGCAAAAGCAGCAGCTAAATTTCTTTGTTAACAATATTTGGCAAGATTTTCCTCGTATATAAAAGTGCTGCCCTAATACTCTGGAAATAAAATTGCAATAAATATGTGAAAGATGAAGCTATCCCTTTTATACATAAAGATATTTCCAAGCTATAAGTAATGGTTTTTTTAATTTTTCAACGTCACTACAAGATAAGTTCTGGGAGCTAATGGACAGATGGGATTTCCAGGCCACATAATAGATTAACTAGCAAGCCTGTACGAGGAACAGGAAGCAGCAGCGAGAACGAGCAATGGAGACACTGCATGGTTTAGCATAGGAATGCGACAGGGTCAAAGACCGAGATACAACTTTTGTTTGGGAAGGGGGGCAGCCCTGATAAATAAGTGTAACAAAAGCCATATTTTACAAAAGAAAAGTATTTCACTTATGCTACTAATCTTTTTGGAGGGGCCAAACCTCCCCCGGGCCCCTGGTATCTCGGTCCTTGGACTGGGTTGTGTTGCTCTGCCAATGCTCTACAACATCTACACCGAGGACATAATAGCCCCCGATAATGAGAACGATTTTTAGCGATGGGCAAGAAGGCATCAAAATAGGGGTTTATGATTGAGTAATCTTAGGTTTGCAGATGACACGGCCGTGTTTAGTAATACAAAAAGAAGGTCGCGAAAACATGATCAGACAAGCGAAAGAAGTCAGGGCAGTAAAGGGCTGGCTGCTGAATGTCAAGAAGACTAAGATCATGGTATTGACCAATACCAAACAGACTTCAGCACAATAAAACTAGATGGCACTGAGAAAGTGAATGCTCTTGTTTATCTTGGATTCACCATCAATACCATGGGTAGCAGCAGTCAAGAAATACGAAAAAGGCTTGCAATGGCCAGGAATATGGTCTAAAGCATGATCGCCAAATGGCAGTGATGTGCCTAGACAATTTTTCTTGATGGGGGGGGGGGGGCGTTCAGAAAAAAGTGACCAACTTTACTTTTTTGACCGACTATTTCTCCATAGAAAATTCATTAACAACTAAACAGATTATCATATACACACTTAATGATAACAAAGTAAGAGCAAATGATGGCATGAAAGTATAAGGAAATTAAGTTTGCAGAAACTAATAATTCTGGATTTCGCGTTGCGAAAAACCAATTTTAGGTTAGTCTGCAAAAATGAATTGCAGCTCATTTAAATTTCTGACTTCTGATAACAAGAAAAAAAAAAGAATACAAGGTCTCTTCAAAAGCCTTTTGCTTCAAATTCCGCGCACGATTTCGCGGGAAACGTTCTTTATCCACAAATTTCAAAATTATTGTTCTTGCGTTCCCCGCGCAGAAAAAATACTTTACAGTCTTGTAGGGAGGTTTTCAGGCCTCAATTGGCCAACAGGGTGAGTGAGACAACCTTCATTTGCCTACAAGTTTGAATATTCACCGAAAAGCACCCACACATGGCTAAAAGTGCTCGTTTAAAACGCTCAAAATTGAATTTTACAGTAGCTCAGCCTCAGCTGATTCTTAATTTATTCTTAACTGTTGACCAATTTTTAGGCTCGTTTTCTCATAAAATTGTTCTTATAAAAAAAATTGTTTTACATAAAGGGAAGTTGACTACGACCAACCATGACCAACAAAATAAATGAATTAGAGATTGAAATTGGTCAAACTTCCTTATTAACGCTAAGGTTCCAGCTGCATGACCATCTTTCTTGAAGTTTGCAGACATTGAAGGGAGGGGGGGGGGCTGATGCTGTTGCTTCATGTGGAAGTGAGTCATGGCCGCTAACTAAACAGGATGAGAAATGGATTGATTCCTTTGAGAAGTGGGCCTACAGAAGACTTCTGAGGGTGAGCTTGACAGACAGAAGAACAAATAGTTGGGTTTTAGAGAATGTTGGTCATGACACTCCGTAAGAACATCAGTGCACGGAAAATGCATTATTTCGGTCATGTTATGAGGAGAGCGGTTTAGAGAGGACATCGATTCAAGGCAGCGCAGAAGGTAAAGAAGACCAGGATATGCATATGGGGGCAGAACCTAGATATGCCAGGTTTTGTGGAAATGTCCCCTAACTTTTTTCGGAGAGGCCCCTAACTTCAATGGATATAAATTGATATATGTTTTATCATATTTCGTACATATTACTTGAAGAAGAAGTGGGTTTGCATTACCTCTCTATAGACGTTTCCCTCTAGAAATTTTAATCATAGAAAAGTTTTAGTTTAGTTATCATCCTTTGGATAGATTTCTGCCTGCTGGATTTCAGATTTAGTGCACGTAAATAATGTGGATTAAAGATGAGTTCAAAAATCAGCCATAAAAAGATTGGCTAAACGAAAGACAACTTTGCGTGAGACTTTTATTGCATCTTGTTTATGATGTTGCGGATAGACCTGAAGCTGTGGCTAATATTGTCGTCTTTTGATGAATGCATCTAATGCTGTTGCTGTGTTTAAATTGGCACTGAGCAGATAATGCAAGACAGCTTTGGTATTTTTCTATAAATATCTATAAGTCCAAAATGGCGAGCCTCATTTTCTGTGGGAAAAGGCAGTGGTAAAATATCTTTTTCGTAGACAGGTGAAAAAGATTTGAATTGAATTGTCTACTGTCCGTGTGGTTAAACAAGAATGCATTTGTGAAACATAAGGAAGATTTCAGAAACTTTTTGAACAAGTTCAAAAAGTTGCACCAAATTATGAGTAACTCTTGCCCTCAAAACATGCACCGATGAAATACGTAAGGCGGTTGAAAATGGTTTACTGCATCCCTACAACATCCATGCAAATAGTCATAATTGAAGGACTTAAGTGAAAAAGTTCTATAATGTTGATAAGTATGTCAGTGCATTGGCTCGAGTAATTATGGCAAGAGAGAGAAAGCGGAGGAAGGGAGAAGAAGATGCAAAAGAGAAGAGAAAGAGAGGAAAAGATTAAAGAAGATACTGAAAGACTAGCATAGAAAAAGAGATAAAGTTGAGAAAACGAATATTCACAGGAAAAGAGCAAGTTATTTGAGGATAGGAAATAAATGCTGAAAGTGTTTTGGCATTTTGGAAGTGTATCGAAAAGACAGCGAAATTGCATAATTGGTGGTAATTATGTTTCCGGTGAATGCAAAAAGTATCAATGTCCAATACACTGTTCTTGAGCTTACCTTCGATGCTAAACTTAAATACTAGCTCGCTTTACACAAAGTTTATCTAAAAACAGCAAGCAGTGGTTGCTATAAAAAACAGCAAGCTCTAAACTCTAAGAAAATCACAAAAAATATTATTATCTTCCTTGTTTCGTCGAAAAAGTATTTTGTATTTCATATACAGTAAACTATTTAGATAGCTTTCATCTTGTGACTTTGCTTGCTTTGTCGATGAAAGGCCAAATTTCAAATTAAATGCCCAGTTTCAAATTAAATGCCCAGTTTCAAAATGGCTGATAGTCAAGTGAAATCTTTAGATAAATCAACACTTATGTCTATCTACGTTTAAAGGCTCTTTCAACATATCTTTTTATGAAATCGTTGTTATCAAAGTAGCTGGGGAGCCAACCGTCGCGTTAGACTTGTAAGGTTTTCAAAAGACGTTTTTTTGAGATATTTTTACATTACAGTTTTCAAGAGAGTACGAGAGCCATGTAAGATATTTGGATTATCAACTCAACAAAGCGAGATACGCAAAGTATGTAAAAGATCTTATTTATCGTTCGCTTTGAGCATAAACTAAGTTTTTCCCCATAAAGCAGCTATGTCCTCTATCATTGCATCCTTTTCTTAATATTTTTTAATAAGTATGATTCATTTACTATAAAGATCAACAAAATAGCATGAACATTGTCATTTTAATTTGAGATTTTTGAACATTATATACAACAGCAGGCAAAAGGCTTATCAAACAAATAAATCTATCCATCTGTTGGAAATACAGTCTACCCCCCCCCCCCCCCCGTTTCCTTTAACTATTGCCAATTTTTGTAAATAATTCTTAAGAGTACTGTTTGCTCTTGCTGTAAAGGAAGTTGAAGATGCTTTGAAAAGCTCAGCCATACCTGGCTTAGGACAGAATGATACCGAATACTGTAATAAAAAGCCATCAAATTCAGCTGCAAAGAAAATAACTCCAATAAGGAAAAGGAAAGCAGACAGGACAACATCATTTGAAAAGTCAGTACCAGAAAATGAAATTAATCAAAGGAGATACCCAAAGCGAAAAGAAAGAGTTAATTATGTAGAAGCAGAGGTTCCTGACGATGACCATTATCTATGTAAGTATGTACACTGGGGTCACAAAAGTATGGAAACGGTGCTAAAATGGCGGCTCCCAAAAGCCAAGGGCCCAAGCCGACAGGTTTTCAAAACAGAAGTTCAGCGAGCCGCCATTTTGACCTACCGTTTCCATACTTTTGCCACCCCAGTGTACATGAATTTATTGTTTCCTTCTCTGTTATGAAGTGCTCATCGCCGTAGAGGCAGCGCTGTACACGCTTTAATATGGAACAAGATGATCCATGATCGCAACTATGAGTTTTACGCTTAATACGATCATCTGTAGCCATGAAGTATCTTATGTAACTGTGCTTTTTAAAGAAGAGTAGCTGATAAATTTAAGCAACAGAAAGTTGTGCAAACTGGGAAATTGTAAATCCTATTAGAGATCCACGAAATCTCCAAATGACTTTACAAACTGGATGTATAGGGGTGTGGCTCTCCACGCCCTAAACTTGAAGGTCAAGATTAGTGGTCTACTTGACTATATCTACTACTATACCGTACTCGTATTTGGACTTTGCTAAATGATTTGAGATATTCTTATGTTTTATGAAATGCTGTTTAAGCTTTAGCTTAAAATCTCAATGTTCGTTTAGCCATTTTTGCAATAACATGTCTCTTCTTGCAAATAAGTTAATCCCGATCATTATATTTTGGATTCGTCTTTGCAAGAAGTAACATTTTACAAAGTGAGAGAAAACCAAGTAATGATACAGATTTTCACAGTAGATCACGACACATAAATAGTCTAGCATTCCATTTCAGTTTGCGAAGAGTGTGCCGATTTCAATTATGGTGAATGCCCTGTACATGGTCCTTTGTTTCCTGTCGAAGATTCCTTGGTAACGAATACTGAAACTACAGAAACAAAAGCGCGTGCATCATTACCTGATGGACTAGAAATAAGAAATTCAAAAATAAAAAACGCTGGAAATGGTGTCTTTGCCTTGAAAGAAATTGAAAGTGGCACCAGATTTGGACCATATCAAGGGAAGAAGGTACACAGGTCGTTGGTTCACGATGGAAGAGATACGAGTTATATGTGGGAGGTAAAATAATTTCAGAATCTTTTGATAAAAATACATTCTTTGCAAATGCGTGGGATAATTCATCAAACAATATGACGTTCCTAAATGTATTATTTGCAGATAATGCGTGATGGTGAAATTTGCTATTATATCGACGGAAAAGATGAAAGTATTGGCAACTGGCTGCGATTCATCAACTGTGCAAGAACAGAGAGTGAGCAAAACTTGGTTGCCTATCAATACCACAATGATATATATTACAGGTATTAGATTTATTTGATGTAACTAGGGATGTACCGGATATCCGATAGGCCGGATAATCCGGCACCGGATCGCTGATTTTCTGAAAATCCGGTTCCGGCCAGATTTGTTTTTGAAATCCGGCCAGTTGCAGATATACCCCTAGATGTAACAGATGTAACCAGAAATAAAGATGTCAGAAATTCTTGCTTTGATAAGTTGTCTTCCCTTTCTAAAATTTACACCTCTATACAAAACTGTGCTGTCTTTAAGGCCAAGTCTTAAGCAGTGTTTATGTTAATGTCAATAAAATCGAAAAAGAAACGCATAGAGCAAACTAAATTTTAGATTTGAGATCTAATTTCTACATTAATCTGTGTCTCATGCTATTGCGTAAATTGTATGCAGAGTATACAAGAATGTGTGCATTGGCGATGAGCTTTTAGTTTGGTATGGAGATGAATATGCAGTTGAGCTTGGGATTGAAAATGAAGTCAAGCAGCAGGAAGAGCAACCATGGTTTGACAAGAGTATGTTATTGCTGAGAAGTATTATTCTTTGTGCAACTTTGCGATGTTTATATCCAATAATGAAGAAAACCTACTAATAGATTATTGAAGTAAAATCAATTTTAACTAGGTGATGTATTGTGCAGGAAATGTCATGAAAAGAATACAAATTAAACTGTGATGAAGACTTCTGGAAAGTTTTGTGCCTAGAATATTCGTTTGCTTCCCGCTTTGCTAAAAAAATATTTTCCGCCAGAACATTGAGTTTCTTTTTGCTTTCAGGTAAAATAGCTTTTTGCAGCAATTGTGAGAACTGTTTCAGCTCTGAATACATCGAGAAACACCGAAAATGGTGCTTAACAAGAAATGTCGATTTAAACTCAGGACACGATGATTTGGCAAAAAACATACCCAGCTTGAAGAAATTAAAGAAGATATTTTCCAAAGTAGCATCAAAGAATAATGGAAATATAAATCAGTTTGGGGGCAAACTTTCAACTAAAATGCCAGTAGCTGAATCAAAGAAATCCAAGACCGCCCCTTTCCAATCCAAATCCAAGGACAATAAAGAACACAAGCCATACATTTGTGATAAATGTGGAAAAGGATTTAGTACATCAGGTAGCCTTGATACACATAAACGGATTCATACGGGAGAGAAGCCATATATTTGTGATACATGTGGAAAAGGATTTACTCAATTGGGTAGCCTCAATAAACATAAACGGATTCATACGGGAGAGAAGCCATACATTTGTGATAAATGTGGAAAAGGATTTAGTACATCAGGTAGCCTTGATACACATAAACGGATTCATACGGGAGAGAAGCCATACATTTGTGATACATGTGGAAAAGGATTTAGTACATCAGGTAGCCTTGATACACATAAACGGATTCATACGGGAGAGAAGCCATACATTTGTGATACATGTGGAAAAGGATTTAGTACATCAGGTAGCCTTGATACACATAAACGGATTCATACGGGAGAGAAGCCATACATTTGTGATACATGTGGAAAAGGATTTAGTACATCAGGTAGCCTTGATACACATAAACGGATTCATACGGGAGAGAAGCCATACATTTGTGATACATGTGGAAAAGGATTTAGTACATCAGGTAGCCTTGATACACATAAACGGATTCATACGGGAGAGAAGCCATATATTTGTGATACATGTGGAAAAGGATTTACTCAATTGGGTAGCCTCAATAAACATAAACGGATTCATACGGGAGAGAAGCCATACATTTGTGATACATGTGGAAAAGGATTTACTGAATCGGGTCACCTTGACGCACATAAACGGATTCATACGGGAGAGAAGCCATACATTTGTGATACATGTGGAAAAGGATTTAGTACATCAGGTAGCCTTGATACACATAAACGGATTCATACGGGAGAGAAGCCATACATTTGTGATACATGTGGAAAAGGATTTACTAAATCGGGTGACCTCAATACACATAAACGGATTCATACGGGAGAGAAGCCATACATTTGTGATACATGTGGAAAAGGATTTACTACACCAGGTAACCTTGATACACATAAACGGATTCATACGGGAGAGAAACCATACATTTGTGATACATGTGGAAAAGGATTTACTGTGCCTAGAAGTCTGCAAGCTCATCAAAGGACTCATTTCAAAGACTAAATTAGGACAAGGTAAAAGGTTGTGGTAAATTTTTATCTTTTTTTAATTATTTATATTGATGATTCATTTATTTCAAGCTGGCATACAGACAAGCTGATTCATGCGGAAAATCTTAAAAGCTCTAAAAAGAAAAAAATATTTAGAAACCTATTTATGAGAGAAGACAAAAATTTCATGACAATTTTATTTCAAGAGAATTTTCAAATGATAAAAATTTCATGTTAAAATTTCATTTAACTTCAGTTAAGAAGCCCAAAATCAAATTCTATGTTCCTTTATGCCATAAAAATTGAAAGTTTACATAAGTAGCAAACACAATTCTTTTTCTAATCACAAAATGAAACAACTGCAGTTAAGGCTGATTGGACAAAATTCAGAATGGCAGTTCTATCTCCCCTTGCAATTTTTAATGTATCTAATTTTACTTACAGTTTATTTGTTAAATAATGAATTATCTTTTTGAAAATTATCTAGTTGTACTATTTGAAAATTATATGTTTAATTGCTCATTATAGCTCTTAAAGCACCAATACATGAGCTAATAAAATCTAGAACGGTATGAAACGGGAATACTCAGGGCAAACTTTCTGGTGTCTGCGATTTTTATGAATTGATTTTAATTTCAATTAATTAAGTTCAATAATAACTTCCCTAGTTAATAGTTAGTAGTATAATATATTGTTTTTCGTTCAAATTTATTGCTGCTTTAATATTTAAAGTAACCATCTGAGATTGTTAAATGCTGAATGAAACTGAGCATTGTTTTGTTGCTTTTCTACAGATGTTGTCTAGAGACTCCAGTTATCTAGAGAAATACATTCAGATATTCCATAATTTAGCTTAATATAACGGTCAATTTCACGTAACGATTTTTGAAAAACGATTAGCTCGAAGGCATGAATATCGACAACTTGCTGAAAGATTCTATGAAAAAGTTTCTTCACAAAGAAGGGCAAAATGAAACACTTAGGTCGTTTTGAATTTCTTCAACAAGAAAAACTTGACTTTGATTGCTTTTTTAAGCTGTTTGGGTAGACAGCTCAGTTAAAAGAACCAGTATAGAAACATTTCATTTTCGATTCAACTTGAACTACGATTTCAAATTTCACTACTGCAAGGTAATGTGTAATTGATATAATAACGATAAATGTAAGTAAACTGTACCAGGAAAGATTTTTTTTAGATAAATAACGACGTTTCGAGCATAGCCTGTTTTCACTTGAAGGGCTAAAGCTGACTATGCTCCAAACGTCTTTATTTATTCTAAAAATTATTTTACAATTTACTTACATTTATCGTTATTATAGCATTATATTGTACCGCACGCAATCTAGTATATTAATGTGTAATTGGAAAGCCTGGTTTTGCAAGAAAAACAATTACAAGAGTGAGTTAAAAATTGCCAGATATCATGACCTAAAAATTTATGATTACTTAAACCGGAAGTAAAGTTGGATTTGTCATAGAAAGTTTGGCGATGAGTTGCGCACATTTCAAGAAAGGTTTCACAAAATTTGTCGAAAATTCCAAGAGCGCTGGTGGAAAGGTAACAAAATACTGATTTGAACCTACGCTCTAGATCTTTGACGAGAGGAGCATATTTATGGCGATTCCGTTCTGCGTTGCACATCATATTTGTTTCGAATCCTACGTGTTTTAATTCATTCAGCTCCAAGACATAATCCATTCAGCTCCAGGTATATCTTATGCTGTTATTTAGTATCTTTTAACATTGTATAAAACAACATTGTTCGGAGTAGGAGAGGAAGATGCAGAATAAAATATTCAAAAATTCAAATTTATCAAAAGAGCTTCACAAAAGCTTGGGAAACCAAAGCATAGCAAACCAGCAATCTGTGCTACTTTGAAATGATCATTATCAGTTGAAAAGAAAAATTATCAAACAGACGCCTGCATAACAGAAACAAATAATCGAGAAATCATTTCTATGTAGACGATTATGTATCGATTAAAGCTCAAAATATGAAAAAAAATGGAAAACTCATTGTATCATTTTTATCAATGTCTTAATGGATCATTCGTCACTGTCTACAAGACAATGAAAAACTTTCATGATCAGGAACAGAGAAAGAAAACAAAGAAAACTTAAGAAACAAAGATGCCAAGTTACAGGTAATGTATTGTTAGAAAGATAAATGAAATAGCTATAAGCCTAAGCGTCAGCCAATCAGATTTTGAAAAGTATCTAATAATGTCGCTCTACCTAAGAGCATCCAGTTTCCAGAATTTACGTCGCCAGGCGCACAAATCAATGCCTTTTAAAGTTACTAGAAACATGATGCCATTCTGGTGAAAACACAGAAAATCTATAATCTACCTTTAAAAGTATTTTATGCCAATAAAAATTTTCTTAACATTGTGTGGCATGAAAATTTTCATTAAATATTTCTTATTGTCGATCAGCCATTTAGCAAAATAGGTGCGAGATTAAATATAAATGAGTGTTTGGATTTCAAAGCGAACTTTGAAACAAAACAAGGAAGCTTTGACTTCGAAAGATTTGCATTAGTTTGTAGAAAAATGCAATATCCATGACTGTAATGGTGGGTGGGGGCGTTAATGTAGGAATGTAAACAAAGACGTAAAAATGTGATACACAAACATATGGATTCTTAGAGGCAAGCAGTATTTTCCTTGGCAACGACGAAAATATGAAACCAGTTTAACTGGTGGCAAAGCAAATTATTCGGAATCTATGCAGTAACGCTGCAATTTTATCCAATTTTAAAGTTTTTATGCATATCTCCTAAACGGGGCTCATTGAAAATGCAAGTGAGACTCTATTTGGGTGAATTTTCAATTTTCACAATACTCAAAGTCACACAATACTCAAAGTCATTTCAGCCCTTTTTCGCCATTTCATGCTAGTATCATAATCCATGAGGAAATAAATATGATAGTTTTAAAGAAGACAATTGTTACGAGCATTTTTAAATTTAATCGTTTGATAGTTTAGGGTTGTGAATGAACAGATAAATCAAAGCTAACTTAAGATACAACAACACCAATGATAAATTGTGAATGTCTGGTCAATGCACAGTACCAGGATACTATGGCCAAAATCATTAGAAATCCACGATGAAATTTCGGTGAAAAACGATGAAAAAATATGAAATAATTTATGCTTATTACCAAAAATCATTTATGCTTATTACTTCTCAATTATTGATCGTAATCGTTGTTGTTATAACATTTTCGATAGATTTTGATTCCAAATGGCGATGTATTATAAAAGTTTAAATGATATGAGATAATACAAACATATTTTCAATCTTTGATGCTGAAATGGCCTGTCATTGCATTCATAGTATTGCATTACATTTGTGACATTTCTAGACCCTGCACTTTGGTTTTGATAGCAACTCCTGCCTTCAAATGGTGTAATGGAAGCTCTAGATGATAATTTTTCTTATCGTGTGCTATTTGATCAGATTTATAGAAATTACTACTTCTTAAATCGCAACCAAAAACACAATTATTCATACTTTCTTAATCAAAAGAGCCAAGCGGGTTGAAAGACCAAGTAAAGATTTTCAATTTTGAACTAACCAGCATATTCATAGCAGTGTTTTATCAAAAAAACTTTTGCCGACAGTCAACACTTTAAGACCGTTATTCCAACGATCTTATCGATAATTCACACGACATCACGCGTATGTAGGTTTCCGCGTGGAAAGCCTGAACAAGACGTTTGCGCGTTGGTAATGCTTAATCGCAATTAATTATATTTTATTGACAGTTTTTCTATGCCTTGTATAAGTAAACGAGCGATTATTAAGCAGTTGAGCAATCAATTGAAACTTTCTAAAATAACATGAAATATTGCAATATTGTGGTACGTGTCATAATTCACATAGCTTTTAAGTCATTCCCGGTAGCGCAATAACATAACATTCTAAGGATTGCCTAAAGGGTTTAACGAAATTTTCTGGATATCAGCTTACCTTAGGGCATGGTTATGGGCGATTGATAGTGGATAGGATAAAAATTCCATATCAGCTCGGTGGATATTTGTAGATTGGTGGAGTAACTTTTATGTATGATATTTGCGATTTTCAAAATCCTTTATTTAATGCATTCCCTCTAAAAGATTCACATACTTTATTCAGTTAAAACATAGCAGAAAGGGCGAAAATATCATAAAAATATCGTAGACTCACCTCGAATCCATAAAATCAAAGCGAACTTTCTCAAATGTTTTTAATTAAAATGTGCTCACTGCTCTTTTCCTTGACAGTTGCTTCAAAACAAATTTATTCACTCGGAGATGAAATAAAAGCCTTTTCTTTGACGATAAGAGAGTACCTGCCAAAATAATAGACAAATCTCAGCGACAAACATTTAGTTTTCTGGTTCTATTGTTTCTAGCTATGTTAATAAAAACCTTATGTAAACCCATCTTATTTACAAATATCCTGTATTAAAGGGTCTCACGAAATTCATCAATGCATCTAATGTTCTTTGACTGAAATCTCCTTAGAATTTTTTTGTTCAAAAAGAATACTGAATCGAGATTTATAAAAATGCCTCAGAAGAAAATACCCCTTAAAAAAATTGCTAGTAGTCTCTTAATGTAATGTCAGATCTCCAGGTTTGAAGTTCTGCCTGTAGGCTTAACAAGGGCAACTAAAAAAGCCTCTCTGCACCTTTTTACTTGATGCAAGTCACAACTTTTGCTTAGGTAGATCCTTTGAGGCATTGGTTAAGAACAGTGATGTCCACAAACAAGAACTATCTGTTTTGGCAATATTTATTGCAAGAAGACAACATACAATCTTTATTAACAACTTTTTAAAACTTTTCTTTTATAAGATTACATATCTATTGGAGTCAAAGTTCACAAGAATTACCAGGGAGTCAAAGTTCTCTAATTCGCTTATTTTCGCGTTTCCTTCTACTTAAGTTTTTAGTTAGTTAGAAATTGCCAAAGCTGGGTAGACTTTCGACTCTCGATAATCGCTTATGCAGAGAGTTGCTCGCTCGACAAGCAGTAATGGTGCGAGAAACAAACTTGCAAAGAACAGCAAAATAGTTTAAACATGTTTGTGCAGTGAGGATATCTATTGATGTAATAGCGCAACCGTGAGCTTGACCAATGCCCAGAATACTTTTTTCTTGTTCATTATAAAGATCAGTTAAATTTATGGAACAAAGAAGACAGCATTGATTCTGAAAATATGAAGATCCTTTCATATGACACAGCCCAAGGTCCGTATATTGCAGTCTCGAGCCCCTTCTAAAGATATCGTGTAAAGCCCGATTTTGGGAAGTTACTAGGGTTTGAAGGGGCTATTCGTTACTCAAGGAACTTCCATGTCCAAGACAGAGACGGCGAGTACAAAGCACAGCTGAATCAACATTCGCTAAAACTTTACTTTTAACAAAGGAATAATGGCGTACACGAGTAACTGGCCCTTAGTTTTCGCTGGATACTGATCCTGATCTTTCATTTGCTAGTTCAAAGCCATTGTCTTTTGAACTCAAATAATTTTTGGTGTTTCCATGGGGCTTTAAACAGCTGTGCAAATATTCCAGCAACATGCCATTTTGTCGACCTTTTTAAGCCTTAACTGCAAGCTGCTCAAAGCATATTCTCAATGTATTACACACTTTCTCTTTTCTATATGAACACACTCAATTTAAAACATCGAGATACCGAGAGGGGGGAGCGTGGCTAGTTCCCCCCACTTTTTCAGAAAGTTGGTCCTTGAGATTCTTGCAAACCTTATGAGAAAACTTCAGGGCGGGGGGGGGGGGTTGTACGTTATCTAGATCGTCACATTTAAATGACATTTCTAGGGAGACAAGAGATGTTTTCTCCAGAAAAAAAATATTTCAAACAGGGGAAAGGGTGTGGACCAAAAGGGTGTGGTCCCTGACACACCTTTTGTCCTTCTCTCTAATCCCAGGCTTGAGCCGCCAATGGTTCTTATTTAAATATAGAATACTGCATGAATATCTACAGATCTTGCTATCATAGTGCATAGCCATTGCAATAAAAGGGTCATACAGCCAGCTTAATTCTTCAATTGTCTCCCATTTGTTTATGTTTTACTTGTAATGTTCATCCACAACGAATATTATATGTAACGCAATATATGGTATGATTTTTTATGAATTCAAAGGTTGCTGTTTTTGACCATTTCACGGCCTTATCAGTTGCATCATTTTCTTCACGCCTTTGTATACACTAAAATCTATTTGCATTAAAATTCAGAGGATCTTTCAAATAATCTCTACTTATGTATACTTCTATAATAGCTAGCTCCGTATAGGAAAACTGCAAGTCAATTTCTGTTTTCACAACGATCTTTCTTGCTGTCTGTCTGTCTTTCGTTCTTGGTCGTAAACTTTCAAGATCCTTGATTGTTTAGAGCTGGGTTGTACTATGACTGTGCTATATTGATTTTCGAACTTTTTTCAAAATTTCTCTATTCAAAATTATTTTGTCATAGTGCAATGAAACTTGGAAGTTTCTTTAAAAACGGTTTCTCAAAATTACAGTTAATTGTTTACAGTTGTGGGTGTTTCTGGATGTGATTTTAAAATATGTTCAAAAAATTCCATTTATTTGCATTATTTCCGAAGTTAAACCAACTTTGAAAAACTGAGATGACAAAAATAGGAGGCAATAGCACTCATCACATTCAAGGCTTAGGAATACTTGGAAATAACTCTTTTAAAGATGGGATGAAAATTATTCTTTAGTTTATTGTTATGATATATTGTGTTATGTTGCCTGTGAGAGCTTTCTGTTTTGTTCTGTTGGCACTCATACATATTGGAAAGGCTTTCGTTATCTTGGTGTTTATGTGTTTAGTTTTTTAGCTCTTTAGCATTTAGAAATTTGAAAAAATATAAAGAAACTTGCAGAAGCAGAAAACCAGCAAAAAATCGCAAAAATGATAATTTATCTGGCATGAGTACAGCTTAGTTTTGCTTGAAAAAATTTATGTATCTCTCCAATAAAAAACAAACCTTGGAGGTTTTTTGAGTCCAGCAAACGTTTTCGAGCAATTCTTTTTTTACATGGCAGCATTTCAATTCCACACGAATCAAGCATTTTGAATCGATTTCAGCTATAGTCATCATTTCTGAAATAATGATGCAAAAACTTCATAATAATCACCAAAGAGTCTTTATGATTCTCTTTTCTTTTGCAAGAAATAATCAAACAACAAATAACCAAGAAATAACCAAGAATTAATCATCAAAAGATCAAGACGTGATATTATAGCATTATAAAGATTTCATAGTGTTATTTTTTTCCCCAAAATCTAGGTTTTGAGACACTTAAAATGCCTTTTGAAGCCTCACATTACATGGAAATTGGTTTTGCTGAAACAGCGATTAACGTAAAAACACTAAAATTTATGATACCTAGAGTATAATGTTTTCATATCAACTTACGAATCAATAGCATATGTTTGAGACTGAACTAGACTTTGCTAGTTACACGATACACAATTAATGGTGGATTATTGTTTTCACTGCATAATGCCGCTAATTTTAAGAATTTTATTTCAAGCCAAGCGGTTGCAAATACTTCAAAAGCTAAAAAAATTTGAGTAATACCAACACAGATACAATCGTTTTACCAAGCAACGATTTGCACACAAATGAAAATGGAATTCCAACAAATTCTAAACTTTGTCTGATCTAGCTGGCAGTAAATCAATCACGCCTTTATCCCGCCAACTGTTCAAACAACTGACCGCGCCAAATTTTCAAACTGTGGAAGAGAGAGCTGGGCATGAAGCGCCTCCGGAGCTGCAATAGCAGTGGTCTCAGACTTTTTTTTTGGAAACTGCGGATTCATAAGAGGGATGTTTCTATTTACTTTTAATGGCAAGATCTTCATACGATAAAAGCAGAATATTTTGTTTGCACGATAAACTGGCTTAAGATGCCTTTTATTTTAAATATGAATTTTCAGTACTTTGTTTATTCCGGTTTTTTGCATTGGCAACTGCTGTTAGTTAAATCGTGTTTAAACTTCTAGTCACAAATGACTTTTGGAGAATTTCAGTGATCGAAATAAGGAAATGTAGGAAGGCATAACTAGATTTAAAAGTTGGGGGTTTGAGAGACTGTCAGCCCAAAGTAGGGATTAGGACGAAGCCAAAGAAATTTTTGCAAACATAACCTTGTTTAGAGCCATTCTAGAACTATTTCATGTTCTTTTTCAAAGTTTGAACGTGATATTGAGAATAAGAATGAACTCAATTTCTGAGGAAATGACGATCTCATTTGAAGCCAATTTCGCAAAAAGAAATACACCAAAGTATACAAAAACGCCAATGTAGTAAAATTTATCTTGAACAGTCTGAGCGTTCTAGAAATGAGGATGATTACATATCCAAGTACGTTCTCTTTGACCATGTTGTGTTCCTGTGGGTTCAAGTAAATTACAAATATTTTCACCGCCTTCTTTAACTTTCCACAGGTTTTCAGCGACAAAGGGTCGCTATTACGGACGTTGGAGTTTAAAGAAGATTCATATACAAGCTAAGGCTAGCTGGCAAGACACCTACAACTATGTGGGACACCTATAGTAGTGCAGTGGGACACAAAAAGATAAAAACAGTATGTTTTTAAGGGAATTTTTCATCGAATAATTTACAAAATTTATAAAACTATACTATGTATTTCAAAATAAAAACCCGATTGCACAAAATAAATAACAGTGGTTTATAAGTATTAAAAGGCGGGAAAAATTTCGGTGACATGCATGTAGCAAACGCAATAATACGAAGCTGGAATTGCTGCTGAGGCAAAGTTGCCTTGAGAAAAAAACTGAATTTTCGGTGTTTAAAAGGCATTATTCCGAAATTACATACCTTCCAGAAACATCACTATTACCAAAAAAAATTAGGAGCCTGTGTTTTTAAAAACGCCTGGACAAGTAAGCAATGAAAGGGCTTTCTCTTCATGTTTAAGGCCAACAATACATATTAGAATGTGTTGCGAAGGGGGCCCAAACGGATCCAAAAGGGTCCACTGGTGAAAGTGTCCCTTAACGGGTACAGAAAACAAAGCCGAAATAGTTCTTTTCAAGGCAGGGCCAGTTCGTACCTGTCTCTTTGCGGATTTATTTGCAGCGGCCATCCTGATTAAAACTAAATCACATATTGAATTTGCGTTATAAAATCTATTTTGGCGATAAAAAACTATATAGAAAGATAGAAAGCAACAAAGCGTAGATGTAAGTGACTGTGTGTTTTGTACTACAACTAGATGTTTCTCTTTCCCGAACGGAAAGGATGAAATTTTTAAGTAAAAACGAATAAATAAAGCGTGCGATGTGAATATGAGAGTTAAATCAACAGACCTAAAACTTGAAAGAACTTGACAGAAGACGAAACTTGCATGGTGATGCCTTTTGCAAATTAACGAAGGTCTTTGTGGCTAATACTTGGTTCAATACTGACACATTATTCAAAATTTTCGTTCAGATAATGAAGATTTACACCAAACTATGTATATAAAATACAAAATCTTGTAAAAAACAATTTATGGTTCTCGCCTACCTTATTTCTTTATCAACTTCCTCATTTATTTACAATACATCTATTTTCTCGCGGGGTGAAACTTCTGCCTAGGCCATGTCTACTTTCCTAATTAAACTTCTACAAAATAATCGTTCCACTACAATAAACAGCCCCCTGCGTGCGTGAGTATAACCACTTGGGCTTTTCATTTTGAATATTGCTGATACACACTTATTGTATCTGTCAAGGGATTTGAAGCTGTACACATAAAACCAGACGATCATGCCACCATACAATCAAACGTCTTCTTGAAACATAAATGCCACCGAGAATGATACTCAGTAAGCAAATGCAAGCAATGCCCAAGGCGAACGAGGTATTTGATACTAGGCACGTATCTCCGATCACCATATTCATTAGTCACTACTGAGACGATAGAAATTCTAACGCCACTTGAGCGACAACTTCGTTATTACGAGCCTAGGATTAGAATGTGCCAAGGCAATCGTTTGTGGCATATCTTCCAGCATAAAGAGGGTAGTACATCGATTTTCAGATCATTTTAACTGAAGGGAATGAATTTGATAATGAATTTTTCCAATCATTGCCACATTACCAGCACTGCTCAGCAAAATTCCTTTTGGTCCCGTTTCTCTCATGAGACAAGGTTCTCCCTTCTTAGTCTTGTGCCTGCCTGTCACGTGACGCAACTTTTGGCCGTCGGTTGGCATGATCATCCTCTTGAATCATTTCGATCAGCAACACGTTTTCATCGATGACTTTGACATATTTAATAAATCTTGCTCATATATCTTAACGCTTTTCTCTCTAATAAGAACTGTGTCATCTCTCTCGAGCAGGGTACTAAAAGAAAATAATTGTTTTGTAATTAAAGACAGAATCATAATTATATATGTATAATACCTAAAATTGATGTGCTATAATTAACCAACTTTTTATTGCAGCTGAATGTAGAATCATTTAAAATCATAGAAATTTGAAATCAATGCGTTTGTGAATCAAGCGGAAAAGTAACTTAAAATTTGGCAGTAATTTAAGTATCTAATCTATTTAGCAAATTTAAGGTAGGCCAGGAAAAATCAGCTTTGTGTATAGAAACAAGAATTTCAGTTAAGAGCTTTTAACGAAACAGATTCAAAAGGAAAAAGTTTCAAAATACCTCGCGATAGTTTCACAAAGTTTTGGTACATTATAACCGGTCTTGGCACTTGATTCGACAAAAATTGCATCGTTGAGCTAAAAAAGAACCAAATTTGGATTCAGTGTTATTGAAAAAATTCAATAGAATTTACATACATTGGAGTCTTTGAGCCTGCGCATTGAACTTGATAAATATTATGCAGTATCTTTGACATAGGGGTTGCCTTACTCGGCCTCACTCATTAAAAACTTCTCTTATTCGTTTCTTCAAGAATATAGCTATTGCATGAATGTTGTCCTAAAATTCAAACCAAATATAAGTTTATACCAAATATAACAGCTAACACAAAAGAGACACACCTTTGCTAGATTCACGGCCCTCTGTTCCTTGACTTTCCTTTTGTGATCCAAATCAACTTTATTTCCACACAATACTAATAGAACATTTTCGTCGGTATACTCCTGTGGATAAGAAAAAAAATTAAATTCCAATTCATTTACTGCATGTAGTCAGATTAGTATTTTGTATCAAAAAACCCCTTTGAAACATTTCTCTAGCAAGGTGTAAAACAGTTGCTTTCTTAATATGCCTGAAGTGTTCGTTTTTAATAGATTCAATTAATATAATATTTCGTTTCAGTTAGTTACTTAGATTTCTGAATTTGTAGTTTGCTTCCCTTTATTTGTATATTGATTAAACTACACATGTTGCTCTCCTTATGGCAGTTTTAAATACTTCATCAGGTCACAGGGAAATAATCTCAAAAGATATGGCAATGAAATGGTCTTCAACCTACACTTGCATCCAGATTGTTAGTACTCCCTGAATCGCAGTTTCTAGTGCTAACACAAAACGCGAAACCAAACAAACCATTCCTTAAGGGTGCGAATTGCTCTCGATTACCAAAAATTTCAGTTGAAAAATTGTAATGAAGAAAAAATGTGGAAAGAGGAAATATAAACGAGAACTAAGAGAGAAATTTTTTTTGACACTCCAATCAGCTTTTTATACATTATAAATACATTTGCTTCTCACGTTGAAGCTTTCGCCCGATCTTAATTATACAGTGAAAGTGGTCATTTTAAAGCACCAGAAAATATTCTAGTTTGACTTAGTTTAAAAGCATTTCAAACCAAAGTGAACTTTATCCAGAGGCTTATAGTGCACTAATGTCCGTACTAACTCATAAAAGGCCCCGAATTCTAAAACATGTGAAAAATTTACTAGAGCATCTTCTTATCTTCCTCAAATCAAGTCTTAGCATATTAATTCACTTCTTATCGTGTACATGCAAAATTCACACTCAAATGATCCTAAGAAATACAAAGATAAAGTTTAATCACGTACTAAGATTAATTACTAGTTTTGTACACAGAGGCCAAATTGAGATGATCCTTATAAAAAAAGCTTAAGTATTTGAGACAAGACCAAGGACACGGTAGATAAGAGCTGTCACGCACTTTGAGAACAATCGAAAGATTTCGGTGGGTAATAATTCTACTTTAACATAACTTATTCTTTTTGAATACAGTTTTGTCAAGAACAAGATATTTTGCTACATTTGTCTCAGTTGTTCTTCTCAAGGTTTTAATTACTGATCATTTCAAAAAAATCAACATAATTCTAGAAGAGTAACTCATAGAGTTTTGGAGAGTAGAGTAGCGTTTTTCATAGCAACTTAGAGAATAAATTGCTTGATCTGGTTTAACAAAGCAAGGTAGGCAGAGTCGCAATCTTTGAGTTGTCCTTACCCAATTAGAAACAGCTTATACAGATGTTTTAGAAGCCTGGTTTCTGTAGAACTGACAGACATGTGTGTCTTCAGCCACAAAATCTGATAGATGCAGGACGTTTAAGGTGGAGGACCAGATCATTTCCACATATTACATTCTTTATACTGTTAGAAATATTTTCCATATAATTCAATTACTGCTTTCTAATGGGGTAGCGGACTGCGACCGAACAACTCCAATAAAGGCTTACACAACATTTAGATGCCAATGTGAGAAGATTGAATTTAGTTAAACAATGTGAGAAGAAGACCCACTAATTTAGTTAAACAGCTGACCAATACTAGTGCAAAAACACTTAAGCAAAGATCGTTATAAACGAACATTGTAGTATAAAAAATAAAGTAATTGCTTACATATATCGTCTTTATCCAACTTTTTACATTGAGGAAGGAGATTTCTTCTATGACGTCATAAACAAGAACAACAACATCAGCTTTTCGAAAATAAGATGGTGGCAGGCTGTTGAACCTTTGGAGGAGAAATAGATCAATGATTCCCGCTCACTCAATCAGAGATTGCCAACTGAGCAATCAAGAAACACGTTTCATTTCCATCCCCTCATATATGGTAATGACTCTGGATATTGTGTTCAGAAAGGCGCGCTGTAGTTGTGAAAAACCATGATACATAAAAGAATACGAAACTTTATTTATACAAAACTTTATATTTTCGCCTTGCATTTTCATCCAGTATTTTCGTCTAGTATCTTCACTCGTCCAGTATTTTTGGCCAATATTTTCATCAAATTCTTTCATCCATTATTTACACCAAGTAACTTCACCAAGTATTTTATCTAGCACCCACTAGATTATCAAAAGATTTAATGGCACAGCCTTATACCCGGCATGTAGTCCAATCACTCAGGCCCTTCCCCCATTTAAATATATGACCTATCTTTAATAGCAAAGATGTCACTATCAAAATGGAGGTAGAGGTGCATAATCTCGAAGCCGTCATCCCAGGATTCGAAATCGAGGCTAGCCAATAGAAAGACAGGCTCGAATAACTGGCTTTGTTCTGTCTATCCCTTTTTGGCAGCTTTTTTATCACTCAAAATATCGGTAAACCCTTCTAGTAGCTAGTTAAAAAGCTCTTCTGACAGCAGCTTCCGATGTGGTGTTTGACAGGACAATTTTGAGCAGGTGAAGGGAGAGGAAAATAGAATAGGAAAGATAAAAGAGGTCAGTTAGTGTATGGTTAATGATGTGAATGTAAAGTAACTTGATGGGAAAATATCTACTTCTGAAACAAAAATCTATATTACCAATAATTAATATTAATAAATTAAAAAATAATCAAAGAATTAATAAATGATTACCTGAAAGTTAATTGTTGCTCAAAACCTTCAACTTTAAGTGTGTAAGTACGCCTTCAAATCAAATTGGAGAAAATAAAAGATGACATCTGCATTCTTTATTTAAATAAAGTGCAAACAATTCGATTTGATATGTTGTTAATGTATGTTAGCAAATTATGTTAGTGATGAAAATTGATTAATTTTAATATCGTAAAGGCTTGACATCTTAAATCAAATAAAAAGAACATCATTTATTCCAAGACATTACCTATCTTTTTAACATTTTTCTTTTGATATTTTGCTACTAGGCGTGGTGTGGCGAAAGCCTTGAATATTTGACAATGCTGTTTGTTGAGTTTGCACGAGTGAAACTACATAACTAAGGAAAATTCGCAATGGTCCAAATATTTCAATTCAAAAAACTGGTTTCAAAAAACACTTTTAAGGATTTTCGCACAGTTAGCCGAAGAACTAAAGGGCAAAATATAAATGAAAATATTCGCTAGCAAATAGCATTAATTTAATGCTTTTGAGCTAAACTTAACTTTTAGGAACTTAATTTTTGAAAACATTGTGAAATCGTGCTAGTTTGAAGCAGTGAATTACGCAAAGTAAACATATAAAAAGAATTATAGTGACGAGAAATAATTAAGCTTTAGATTTAGAATGCAATGAATGGACAAATTAGCGAAATTTTGACAAAAATGAGATTGATCACAATAGCTTGATATACGGAGAAAGGAAAATACACAGATAAGGAGAGTTTAGAGAATTGTGACGTCACACCACAAGATTGGGAAGCCAGTTTATTTGACAACCTGACATCACTTCACAACAAGTATACGAGTACAGTCACTATACAGAGCATGGCAACCTTTGCCGTATTCAACCACAGTGGCCGTGCATCATTTTACTGCAGTTTAGCAATTCCTAACACGGAAAGCTTGCGTATATTCTCAAGAAAATCGGGGGCAACGATATGAAAAGGTACTCCTCCTCCACTCCCGTATGTAAACTCTTAATGATCACAGACCTGCCTTTACTATGAGCTCATAACCAGCCTCAAATCTTTTACTCTCAGCAGCCCCCTTGCGCTTTTGATTCCTTTCCATCTATTTGTAGCCCCAGCGAGAGGTGGCAGGGGGCAGATTTCCCTTGGGCTCAGGCTGAGAGGGGGGATAATAGCAACAATACCAACTGTTTTAATGACGACCTCCTGGGCCCCACCTCTCTTTTTGTCCTAGGCCTTGGAAATTTTCCGGCCGGCGCCTCATTGGAAAGTTACTCAACATGACAGAAAACAAACATGAAATTTAACAAACCAAATGCTTTATTCGTCTCTTCCCTTTCCAGCACAGTTAAAATCACATGACAGTAAGAATAGCCATGTGACAACAAATTACGCGACAACGTTGCTTTGCAAAAATTTATTGTGAACAACACAGGAGACATATGGACAGAATTCTAAAATTCTAAAATATTGTTTGAAAATCTAGTTATAAAAATCCTGCTTGTTTGTCCGATAAAATTGCTTTGCAAAATGCAGCCAGTCGTAACCAGTCGTAACCAGTCATAACCAGTCGTAACCAGCAGTAGACTGAATAACTTGGAACACAGTATTAGAAATACATACCGCTCTTGTCCCACTGTATCCCAGAGATTCAGAGTGACACTTTGATTGTTCACTGTTACGACCTTTGTGTGACAATCTGGATCTAGAATACAGGTAAACATTGAAATTAAAGGGTTAAATGACAATAGTTCATTATTTTTCTCATACTCTTGCAGCAATATTTAACCAATGCATTATTGCAACCTTTAAACAAAACTTCATATTGTAGACGATGTTAAAACTAGTATCAAGTAGAGTCACATGACAATCACAATACAAACTATTAATTGATTAATTGTTGTAACATTCGTAACGACCTTAATGCTTAGTTCTGTTAATTTTCGTGTAAATGCTTCGGTAATATGTAAACATTTGAGTGATGAACTGTCTCTTCTTTGGCTACTCAACAAAAATGGTACCGTGACCAAACTCACTTGCTGTCGCCGCTCTTCGGGATGAAAATGTCCCTCTGCTAATCTTTCGAATTAAACTACTTTTTCCAACGGCTGCGTCGCCAACAAAAATGACCTTGTATTCCTGCCCAGTGCTTATTACCGGTGTCATTCTCGGTGTCATTATAGGAGTCTACGAAAATTGATGCATTGTTAAAAGATTACAAAATCACAATGGCCGTTAAGGCAATAGGCCGTTGCTTTTGAACTGTCTTATATAGATTATTTTTTGTGCTTCTTTGAGTCGACTACTGTCATGTCAGAATAGACAGGGCATGCTGAGATATTTTCTGATCATATATCTGCAAAAATAGCGTTAATTTTGATAATATTTTCGTAAAGATGATAACATCAAAATTGGACATAATATCTTTCCTGATAAAACCATCCGACCAGTGGCAATTACATAGAGGGGCGATTACATAGAGGAGTAATTACACAGAGGGGCAATTAGAGGGGCAATTGAATAAAGGGGCAATTAAAAAGAGGGGCAATTAAATAGAGTGGCAATTAAATAGAGGGGCAATTACATAGAGGGACAATTAAATAGAGGGGCAATTAAAAAGAGGGGCAATTAAATAGAGGGGCAATTACATAGAGGCACAACTACATAGAGGGGCAATTAAATAGAGTGGCAATTACATAGAGGGGCAATTAAATAGAGGGACAATTAAATAGAGGGGAAATTGAATAGAAGGGCGATTACATAGAAGGGTAATTACACAGAGGGGCAATTAGAGGGGCAATTAGAGGAGCAATTAGGGGGAAATAAGAGGGACTACTGGAGATTGTGATATACTTTCGTTGCTCGGTTAATAAAAATTCACCAAACTAGTAAAAATAGGAAGGTGATGGCAAAAACACAAATAATATCAACAAATAATAAAGTACATCAAATAATATACAAAATTAAAAAAATTAATTATAGATATGAAATCTTTACCTTTACAGGGGTACTTGTGGTCTTTGGTGGACTAGTGGGTATTTTTGGGATGGATGGGATCAAATCTGGGACTGGAAGGGGCGGATTGTGTGATACGGTAACATCAGGAATGCTTTCATCAAATGATGGTTCAGATACAAGTGAATTCCTCTGGCTGTTCGAAATAGGCATAATCCCATTTGGAAAACCGAATACTCGGGACCCGCGTTTACGCTGCAGATCGGGACTGTTTGGGGATCGCGGTGATACTTGACCTTCTCGCCATAGAATGCTGGTGTTTAAGTTGATATCGACGCGTTCTTGCAATGTCTTGTTTGCGTTTCTGCAATGGAGATGGTAGGACATTTAGAAGTGGTAAAACTGGAAAATATTTCATTGTTGATAGACGGTAACTAGATGTAGCAATCCATGGCTAAAATTGACCAGGGTGCTGTATATTTTTCTAGGTGAGAAGCTCCAGTTTTGAGGTCTGTTAAAACAAGTAAATGCAAATATAAGTTTAAATATACAGCTTTTGTATTTGTATTTGATGCTACCTAGCATCCGAAGGTAGTTTTTAGGACACTGAGAAGCTTATGCTTATCTAGCAGTGTCCTTGTCCTTCCTCTCGATGTGACCACACCTCGTGATTCCTACGCCTGGAATTACAGAGAGCTGGCGACTCTCCCCACTCTGGGTGAAAGTTTGGTCATGCCAGGGACTTGAACCACGGACCCTTGGGTCTGTAGTCAGCGCCTCTAACAACTGGGCCATTCTCGCAAATACAGCTTCAGATATGTCACTTAAATATGAGATCATAAATTCAAACTGTTTCCGGGCATACGGCCTGAATGAAAATGACTGCAAATTCATAATGTACATTGCACTCGTGTTTTAAGAAATGATTAGAAATTCTCTAGAAAAATAAATAGCAGAACACTGATGTTAACTAATGTAACAAAAAGTGAAATACATTACCTTAGATCCTGAAGCTCTTGAGTAAGATTGTTTATGTTCATGTCAAAATACTCTCTCTCTTCCAAAGCATCTTGGTACTTTCTGAAACATCTAAAAATAAGAGAAATGATAGATGGAATAAAAGGGGCACACAAAATCTACACAAAATCTGAAAACATCTTTTCTAGCTTAATATACTTCAATTGAACAAGAAATGATATACAGTCAGTAAAATAGTTGAATTACCACTCTTTGGGAATATATGGACGCAAATAAAATACTTGTTGACGAAACTTCTTGAAGCTTACAGGTTTCCCATATTCAGGCGGAACAAAAGTTTTTGCATTCATTAAAAATTTTGATATTGTATTTCTGCATGTATCGTAAAATGTCTTCTATATAATATAAGGTCACTTTATATCAGTTGTTAGAAACTGCATTTTGCCCGAAAAGATTTCTGTAAGGTTGTCTTCGCAAAAGAACAAAACTTTAATATGTCCAGTCGCAGGTTGATATCATTCGATAATAAGCAACTATATTTTAATCACCTACTGAAATCACTTGATCAAATAAATCAATAATTTGATCATGCACTAGAATTATCCTATGATTTACAGTAATCACCTGATCATATAAGACAAACACGAAAATCAAACAAATGAAAAGTTTTATGAAAGTTTTTTTCTTGCTTAGCCAGCAAATCATTAAAATAGCTAATCACTTTCGAAAACATGATTAATTCTTGATCAGTCTATCAAAACAAATGACAAACATTTTCAATTAAAAACCAACCGCTTGTAATCCTCTCTATTGGCATCTGCAACCTTTGATAGTTTCATCAGCTGCTCTTGCATGTCGCTAAAGTTTTGGACAACCTGTGATAACTTCTCGTTCAGCAAGCGGTTTTCCTATCAAAATAATAAGGTTAAATATTTTCTGCAATCTGTTCTGCATAACAATGTAGAGCTATGACATGATAGGCTTCTAATCTTTTACTATAGCAACCGACCAACAAAGAAGCTGTCAAAAGCAGGACTAAAATTACCAAGTCCCCGAAAGAAAATTTGGAAATAATGGAGATGAGCTTGATCAAGTCCCCACCCTGCCCTTTGCGCGGCCCTTCGAACATTTGTTAAATTTATTACAGACACTTAGTAACTAAATGCCTAATCAACTGAAGTCTGATAAACAACCAAATACTCTATTCGATTCAGCGAACAGCCAACGCTTCATTGCTCTAACTGAATTTAGTGCATTTTGGAAAGAAGAAATGGCAGTAGCATTGATGTAAAAAAACTGCTCCTTATATTCAGAAATGAACTGTAAAAGACAAGGAAACAAGAAACTGATGGCCAAATCTACAATAACGGGTCATTTCATTTGCCATACATACTGCGCTACTTTCGAGACTTACTAGTAGACTCAAAGGGATTCGTGGAGCCATCAAGGCCCTCAAAACATTAGGGTTTTCATTCACAGGGTTCTTTTGATCAAAGTTTGTGTTGAACGCTTTCATCTTAACTCAATGACTGAAGCTTTAATAAAAATTAAAGAATGCCACAGACAAATAATATCGAAGAGTTGCTGCAAATTCTGTCATTACTGGAAGCTTGGCCTAAAGTTCTCTAGCTAGCGATGGCTTTCCCTAAGTCCATTATTGGATCGACCACTTTGGTCCCTCTTCAAAAAATCTAAGAAAGGTCTAACAAACCTGCGATAGACAATCATTTTCGTTCCTTAGTTGCGCTTCTGAGGTTGTTGCAGCATTCAGTTGTTTCTCGAGCTAGAAAATTGCAAGATATATTATTCACAAGAAAATGGTGTCCTCTTTAGAACTGATAAAATTATAAAAACTTAGCATCATTTTACAAAAACGAATCTTAAGGGGTGTTCCAATAGTTCACAAAATAATACATCTCTTGTCGTTTGGTTAAATAAAAATATGTGCCTTTTGAGGAATATTTCATACAATTTAATACCCAACAATTTGATGAACTTTAGCAGAAACAAAGATTGCATTTAACTGACCCTCTCCTTCCATGCCTTCAGTTGATGAAATTCTTCTAAAGACCTTTCTATTTTTGCTTCAGCCTGAAAAGTAAAAAGGGATGTACTTTATCAACCCGATATACAATTAATGAATTACTTAATAGCTAACGAAGCGATTTGAATAGCTGTCAAACACACTGATGACATTTATATTGAAAATATAACATAAATACATACAAACATTAAGCCTGAAATTCCACTACAACGGAACTTGACTTGGGTCACAAAATACACTTTTGCCTACCTCTGCTTTGATTTTCAGGGCGTCCGTCAAATCGTTTTCTTTTGCTTCTAGAATGCGATTGAATTCAGCGCGAAGATGCTCTTCTCTTTCGCCGTGCTGAAAAAATAACACAGATAGTGTGTGACTTCAAAAGCGTGTGCAAGACCTCCCTAAGCTTTAGAAGGCAATCATTTTCAGATCAAAAACTCGCATCAATTTTGGTAAAACCTTTTGAGACTGGAGCAGTATTGAACTGGGAATCAAACAGTATTTCGAGGCTAGCGCCTCTGACAACGAGGCATTGATATAAAGTGATCTCCAAATTTGTGGGTATTTATCAATGATAAAGCTATAAGTTTCATTAAATACCTTATCTTGCAGCTGTTCTTTCTCACGCAGAAGCAGTTGATCCATTTCTTCATAAACACGAGCCAGCTCCCGTTCATGTTGTTCACCTTTGCTGAAATTATGAATAATTATGAACAATTATGAACAATTATGAACAATTATGAATAATTATGAATAATTATGAATAATTATGAATGATTTTGGATACATCGATGAAGGTAGAAAAAGTTCAGACGAGGGAGATTGGTCTAGCGCTTAAGACCAATACTAGGGAGGGTACATATAATTTCAGTGTGAATATTAAACTGCGACTCTGCTTAGGCAAGAAATACTTTTGCTTGAACAAAGCTAAAGAAATTTCTCATACCTGACAGGTTTGTGAGATACATGGCATTCTAGGGCATTAAATACACCATTCGTAACACAGTGCTATAATACCTTAACGACAGGTCGATTAACTTACGTTCCCAAAGCAATATCTAAGTAATACCAACATGCTCATGTGAAACCTTAATACTGTTCAGAAAAACCGCAAGCAGCAATTGAATGATGCCATAAGTCCTCAAATACGCCCTCAAAAAGAAGTGATCATTTCATGCCTTTTAAGTTTATGCAGTCGCCATTTAAAATGCAGGTTTTCGGCCACCTAAGCATCCGAACGTGGAAACCAAACGGGGATTTCGGGAAAAGTAGGGAATTAATGACAAATCGACAGTCGTTCTTTGTAAATGGATTTGAACGTGGTATGCAATGATAAACACCGAATGCAAGTGGGTGGACTGGGAAAGAGATTTCTGTCTTACAAGTTGGAATGGAGGCTGAGATGTGGAAGGCGGTATAGGTGATGATTATTATGATCATAATTATTTGATATGTTAGTTATGATTATGATGATGAAGACGACGATAAAAAAACTCGTACCTGTTTAATAACGTATCCAATTCCTGGCATTTCATATAGGCACGCTGGAACTCTGCTACAACACCTTTTAGAAAATCTTCAAAGGGTTGGACCAAATCTGAGTTGTACACGGATAGTTGCTGCCATAAATAGCGAATGGTCTGGTTCCTAAAAAACACGGAAATTTGAAAAGGTGTCGAGAAAGCGTGAAATAAAGCCAACCATATGAAAACAAAGAGTGTATTATTACAGCAAGACATGTTAAATTGCTTGTTAATCAGCCAAAGTTTTTCCCGTATATCGGAAACAAAGGGCGTCAAATTGCAGGTTATAAAGAAAGAAAAATAAATGAAAACATTGTCATTTAGTTAAAAAGGTTTATAAATTATTAATTCTTTTAAAAGTTGTAATAAATAATAGATTAGTGCTACTGAAATAAAGTGGAATGATATGGCAGATGCTTACGGGTAGCTTTTGTTTAATTGAAGAGATTTCTGTGCTTTTATTTTAAAATTTGACTATTGTTAATAAACATCTGATTCTGGAAAAGGAAATTATTTGATCTTGGAACAATGCAAAATTGGGGGAGAAATTTTTTGAAGACATTTGAATCCTCAGTTATGGTCCATTTACAAGCACTGCTAGCACAAAACCTGTGCCCCCCCTCTCTAATGATAACTTGTTATTTGTCTTTTTATTATGTTCATATAATTTAGAAAAGTTTGATTCGATCCTCTGTAGAATTGTTTGGTAAGGGTGCTAAGACCCCAAGATTTACAAGCTAGTGTTTGCGCTGATAGGTGAAGGCAGAATACATAGGAAGAAGGCACGAATCACAGAACATGGCCAAGACATTACTTACATTCAGAACTCTATAGGGTTTGGAGACAAAAAGGGGCCAGGAGGGTTGCAGTCCCCCTAACCAGGCAAAATTTATCGCATTTCGAGCTCAATTCGGCCGATCCTATTTCGAAGTAGCTGTAATATTTTGGGAGCTCAACACAAAGCTCACCCGAAACGTTTTGCATCCGATACGCCGAACAGAACACACTGATGTACCTTGCGATGTTTGCAACAGAAAAATATACTCAATTTTCCCCGAATTCTATATCCCTGATAAGGTATAAAGAAGTTTAAAATTTCAGGTAAAACTTACTTCGCATAGGGTGTATTTCTCAAGGCTGAACGACATGATAATTATTATCATAGGTGCTGCTAAATAAAGCTTTTCTACGCCATTTTTATTGCCAAAAAAGAGTACTACAAGAAAATCTTCTTTTTTGCTTCTCCAACGCCTTTGGTAAAGCAGTTAGGGTATAATACATAGGGGTACAACACTAGTTTCAAACCCCTCCCCCTAAAATATGTCTCAATGCACTGATGGATCAAATCAAGAATTGTAAATGGTCTCTTTGCGGCTAAATCGATTATAAATAACGTAATCTCCTAACATCCTAAAGAATGTGAGTCTAGGTCTATTCGACTTCGCTTCATTGTACCTGCTATTCGATAAATGTGTTAGTAAGATAACCCATTACAGAAAGTGTAAACACTGCATAGTAACAAAGGCGATTTTCAAACACATTTTAGACATGTACATAGGGTTTCCGTAACCTTTGCTTCCAAGTAGAGACCTTTTATTCTCTCAGTTAACTTGTTAGGGCGTAGATTCACGAGAATATCTGACATAATGCTCCTTTTTGGTTTATTTCAAAGTCCAAATTCAAATAACTTAATACGTGATGGAAGCCTGTCTATAAAATGCACCTTAAAGAAACTTTGACACAGAGAGGGGGAAAACCGTTTGTATCAGAAGTTGCCTGAAATAATCAAATAACAGGATGACAAAGGGGCTGAACTGATCATAAATTCCTTAGTTTTAGCTTCGAACGTAACGTCCCTTCTGTCTCTTATCTCCGGGATCACAAGTTTCTCCGTCGTCTTCAACCAACATCCAAATGCACCGATAAATCCACTCGCAACGGTTTCCGCGTAACATCGCGTTTTTCACGACATACATAAAAACCGCTAGTGATGAAATACATAAAAACCGCTAATTATACTAATATTAGCTCACCCAACTGACTATTCACGACAACATCACTTACACTCGCCAGTTTAACTAAATTTATAAAATTTAACAGGAATGATTTAGCTTCACAAAACTTACCCAGAAACAAACGGAAGGTTTTCCAATCCAGCCTCCATTAACTCACTACTGAATTCGTCGCCAACCATAATTAAACGCAAGAATAAAACCTACGCCCAGGTATCCAAACTTTTATCAATTATTCAACCTAATACTAATGAAATATGCGGTTAAGGCCTTGTTAAATGTCCAGCACGTTAATATTACTAACAAGTCGAGGCCAGACGCACAAACAGCAAACATCTGTTTGGCTATTTCTTAAAATAAGTTTGCGAATAATAAAAGACTTAAGAATTGCATTGTTCAGCGCTGTATTCCCAGGGTCCTGGGACTAAATTACATTTTCCCATTGGTGAGCATTCAAAACAATGTAATACAAAACGGTAATCGGTCTTTTCTTACTAAAGCCATAATATCTTTTGAACTATGATATGTCGGGTGGCTTTTGCTGTTAACTAAAACGATTGCAAAAAGTACTTGGAACACCCAGCAATTTGCGTTGTGTTTTTATATTTTTCAATTCTTTTCCCGGATACTCCTATTTCCGCACAACTTCCCCCCTAAAAAATGTGGATCATTCAGAAAAACAAAGGTCGCTTTGTAGTAAAGCAACATTGTTCACAGGGGGGAAAGGGAATGGCTGAATTTGCCTTTAAAAACTGGCGTTGGTGTACAAGACTTTTGGCAAGCATTGTTGTGAAAAATCTATTTCTTAGCATATTCACGACATAGGAAGCAGTTTGGCTTCTTGCTATGAAATCAAGGAAGAATTTTTAAAGATTGCTATAATCTTTCGCCTCACTGGCGCACACTTTATAGGCTTTAATGATGTGAAAAATGCTTCGTAGCTCTGCTGAAACCGTTCATATTGGACAACTTGGTGGTTAAGGAGCTAAACAAATTGATATGACGACGGGGATAATGTTTGATGGCCTAATAACTCAAGGGCCACGCCATTTGAGGGACAAGGGGTATGGCCCCGGCAATTTTGAACAGGGTGCATTGCTTATAGCCAAAAGCCATACTTTTTCTTCATGATAGCGCCTCTAATTTGATTTGAAGTATAAGGGGTGGCCCTGAACTTAAATGATACGCGAGAAGGGTGAGAAGATAACGCGGTAAACGTAAGCACCGGCAAGAAATTTCCACAGCGGAAAGTCCCTTTCGAAAACCCTGCACATTTCTCTCCATTTTCCCACGTCCCCTACAAGCTGGGAGTTTTGGCCCCAGGCTTGCTTGAGTCCCCCCTTTGCAGGACACCCCAATACCTGCTCGTCCAAGACAATTTTCCTGTCAAATCCTCTCCAAGGTTGTTACACAGAGGTGTAGGGGGTGTAAAAACAAAACTACTTTCATACAAAGATGATTTGCTACAGGCCAGATTTGTAAGTCTGCGAGCTTGGCTATTGATTTCAACATCGCCAAACGAGTGACCCTTATCGACATCGTCTGAACCATAAACAGTGTCAGTGTATTCGATTGAAAAAACTAGCCGTAATGGAATTTCCATAACAAATATATCACCTCTGGGAAAAATTGAGATTAAAACCATCGCTACATAAAAGGGATGGTGCAGGAGCAAGAAGTGACACGGTTGCAAGGGGTGGGTGGCATGGAAGCGAAGGGTGGCACGGGAGCAAGGGGTTGCAAGGGAGCAAGGAATTTAACCAAACTTGTGGCGAGCCCCAGTGAGGGTAACATGGCTAACAAAGGACCAAAATAAATTTCGGTCACAATGCGCTTTCATGATTCTTATTCAGAAAATTATTGGAGAAATCGTTTAAGCCTCGAAGTGACAGAATATGTTAGCACAGGGATACCCTTGGGTCAGCCCGTAAAAGAGGCAACAAACTTTTCTTTCAAATGCCTGCCCTAACATAAGACAAGGATAGACGTGGGAGGGATAGACATGTTTTTGGGTAAAAAAAGTTTGGGTATGAAACCGAATTAAATATTTTGTAAAGTTGTTAGCAAAATTATTGACAAAAACTAAATCCGAATCGCAAACTGTTAGCAAAATCATTCATATTCTATGAGAAGTTTTAAAAGTCCGGGTATAAAATACTTTTGCAAATTTTTTATGGAGTTTGGTAGTTATTTATAAATTTTTCATGGTGTTTGAAATTTATTGGTGCCTGCTTTGAATGATTTGCTTCTGCCCTGGTAGCGGTAAGATTTCATGACAGCTCACTACGGAGAATGGGGGTGGGAAGGGGGGGGGGTGGTTCAGAAACAGATAATCTCTAAAAATCAACCTTGTGGAAAAATTCCGCGTCAGTCCCTTAGATTGACTATAAAATGGCCTATGATACCCCAGTACTTAGTGCCCTTTTTTGAGCAGTTGAAATTGTTTTACTTGTGTTGTTTTGCGTGATTCAACGTGTTTGTCACGTTCTTTGCCTCGTTGCTGTTACCCTGGGTACCAGACTCATATGTAGTGAGTCTGGTACCCAGGGTACGTTGCTGTCAACCAGTCTCTATTTGACGGTTTTGTATTTATGCTTGGTTTAACCATATGTTGCATCGTACTGAGAAAAATATCCTAATGCATTTGTATTTGTTGCTACCTAGCATTTTAAGGTAGTTTTTAGGACACTGTAAAGCTATGCTTATCGAGCAGAGTGTCCTGGTCCTTCCTCTCGATGTAACCACACCTCATGATTCCTACGTCTGGAATTACAGAGAGCTGGCGACTCTTCCCACTCTGGGTGAAAGTTTGGTCATGCCAGGGACTCGAACCACAGACCCTTACGTCTGTAGTAGGCGCCTCTATGCACTGAGCCATCCTAATGCATCAAACCTGGATTAGCAGAAATTCCTTATAGGTTCCAATGATCGGGTAGCTGTTTCTTAAAAATACTAGATTGCGTGCGTTACAATATAATGCTAGCTAAAATAGCGATTCGTGTAAGTAAATTGTACCAGGAAAAAGATTGTGATCAAATAAATAACGACGTTTCGAGCATAAATATATACATACATATACGCATATACATAATTTATGTATATATATGTATATATATGCACATTAATATGAAGAAAAGAAAAAACAAAGAAAAAGGAGGGGGGGAGTGATTCGTTTTTCCAGTGACTTTCTCTTTGCACTGTCCGTTGGGACAAACAAGAGGCCAAGAACTAACATCATCTTCTGTGTTATTTGCCATGTTTAGAAATGTTGCTATAAAGGGTCACTGTCTTCTGTGTTATTCGCCAGGTTAAAATGTTTAGAAATGTTGCTGTAAGGATCACTGTCGTGTTTGTTTTCGAGGTGTATTTTGTTCCTGACATTATGTAAATGCTCGCCAAACCTGTTGTTGATCTGGCGCGAAGTTTCGCCAATATACAGAACATTACATTTGGTGCAAGGGATGCTGTATACGACACATGAGGAAGAACAGGTAAAGCTTTATTTAACAGTAAATGACTTGTTTCGATTAGAAATGGTGGTAGATGGGTTGATGTGGTTGCAGGTTTGACAGAGGTGGTGGTGGCAAGGTGAGGTACCAGGAGATTCAGGTAAAAGAAGGTTACTGCGTATATTGTCTTTGTTGTTTTTATCCTTTTTGTAGGCCAACAGAGATAGAGATTTGAATATTTCCTTTGTAATTGTCGTTATTTATTCAATCAAAATTTTTTCCTGGTACAACTTACTTACATTCATCGTTTTCATAGCCGTTTTATACCGTGAAAAAAATTCTTAGTATGATGCGAGCGCACTTTTTATCGCATTTACGCTCACGAAAATAGTGCTCATTTGAAACTGAATTATGAAGGGTTTATCGCATCTTTCGTAAAAATCGGTGTACAAAAGAACCTTATTGTTATTCAATTCAAAAACAGCATCTGCATAGTTCTTGCCAAGTTTGAGAATACTAATAAGGTAACTTACCCTCCAAATAAGGTAACACCATTAATCCTTTTCATCACTGAGTCCCAGCCTTCCACTAACGACGCGCTCTTTCTGGCTACTTCAGCCTCTAGTATCAGATCATGTAAACTTGTTTCTGATGCAGAATGCAGAGAATTCAGCTCAACGCCACTACAGCTTAATATTCTGTCATACAAACCATCGTGTCCCTCGTCAGTGCTTTCAAATATGAGGTTTCCAACAGTCTCGTTTTCAACTCTAGCCCCAATACACATTCGCTGGTCTCTATTAAAATCATTATCTTCCATGTCATTGGCTGGGTTGAAATCCGAGGACTGACTGTCAGAGGATTGGGAATAGTCACTTGTTGGTGAGAACAGCCTAGGATCTCCTTCACTGTTGAGACGCAAGTCTTGCATAGAGCCGATAATAGGTCTTTCCACTTTAGTTCCAAACCCTGTACAAGCTTCACTATTAATACTAACACAGTCCGGGTCATTTATTACTGATTTTTTATCAAGTTTACTGTCGGCTCGAGCATTCTCTGTCCAGTCTTGGCTCGTGTGAAGCCAACGTGGGCAGCTCCTTTCGTTGCCTAGAGAAGCCCCACCAAAAAAATTCGAAGAATTAGAAGTGACGTCACTAGCTAAAGGCCGTCCGTTTTTGTTATAGAGTCCTAAATTCGATAATGTATGGGCGTCGACAATTTTTAATAGATCAAAAATAGCTTCTTTTGCAAATCCACTTCCTGGGAATGCTTGTTTCGACTTTGCAGCCTTGCTAGGTTCGCGGGAAAGACTTTTTCGCTCGTGAATCTTGGGTGAGCTATTGCTAGTGGAAATTTCGCACTCGTTGCCATCAGGGGGCGAACGATCACAAACTTCTGATTCAATCAGTTCATCATTGCTCCTTGCCAACCTCTCTCTGTTTTCGTTACTGCGAATTCTTCTCATAGACGGACTCCGTGGAAATGACAATCTCGAAGGACTTTGCGAGTAACTCCGAGCTTCGATATTTAGTAGTCCCTCCCCCTCAAAAACATCGTCTTTATGACCATCATTGTCTGTGGTCCCGAGGGCCCGACTTCTGTCACATCCAACTAACTCCCTATCAATTGTACTCTTGCTTTCACCAACGAAAGAATCACTGGAATAACCAAGCTTTTTTAAATCACTTTTTGCATTGTTTGTTTCTGCTCCAGCCTGCATTCCATCACTGTCAAAACTGGACCCAAAAACCTTGAATAAAGAATTATCTTTGTGTACACTCTCGCTTCTCTCCAGTTGCGAAGACAACAAACTGAGCCCTTCCGTGTTTTCATGTCGGTTAACGCTGTTATCCTCCTTTGATAAAGTCAGAAAAGCTTCTGTGAAATCATCCAGCGTTATTTTTCCTTCGCCGTCTTTATCTATGGTTGAGAAAACAAAATGAAGTTGAGAGTCCGTAAAATTGTTACCTAATTCACTTGCAGTGCACAACTCATCGATTGAAATAAATCCTTTTTGCTGTTTGTCCAGCAAAGAAAACAAATCTTTCGCTGTCTCTATGATCTGAGCATCCATCTCGAGGCATTCTGAGTATACTATCTAGCTGTGACATAAATGTTTTTAAAATAAAATATATTAAACTGGATGAATCACGTTGGCCTTTATCGGTGCCCGTTCCCTTAACGACCTCTTTCCTTTGTTGATACGGCCGCGATCTTATCATTCCGCATTTTGATGACATTCAAAAATCTTTGAGGACATAATGAACTGAAAGCGGAGTCACCCATCCATACACAGCTCTTTGTCTGGCTAACAATTGCTGCTTATCAAGCTAAGCAACCATTATTTTCAGACATAATTTCTCAATTCAAATTGCAGTCCAATATCCGACACGAGAAACAAATAGATTCAAATCACTCAACATACAAACAGGCGAGACAGAGGTGCACACCATGTACCCATGTATAAATATCGTTGGCTTTCCGCACCTAAGTCGGGCACTGGGCTATAAAAAATATTGCCTGTGACCTGCATCAACTACAAGAACAGGCAGATTTTTTGTTTCAACGGGGTCAGAAGTCAGGACATGGGACATTCAGTGTTTTTGTTTTCTGCCCAGTCGTGTTCTTTTCTGTCCCTGGCGGAGCGGCAGGGACGATGCCCTAACAAATAATTTTAAATCTACAAACCCTGCCTGCCTCCAAAAAAATATATGAAAATTTGTTCGATTAAATCAGTATTTTGACACTAAAACTGATAAACAATGAAAGTCTTAAATAATATAAATGAGTTCCTCTTAGTTTGAAACTGCCTGATTATCTACCACACAACTAGGGGGGGGGGGCAATTGCCACTGCAGCCCCAGTGACTTTTCATTGTTTCAAACAATAGGTTATTGCACCACTTTTGTATAAACACAGGTTAGGCCCGCAGCTAATTCCTAGGCTATTATGAGTGACCCACTGCATTTTCATCAATTTTCATCAATGCTTGTCTCGTCAAATTGGGAACTATTCCGTGAGCATAGAAAGATTTCATGTTTTCTCAGGTAATATGAAGCGAGGGGTGTATCTTGGGGAGATTTCGGGGGGAATTTTCTCGAATTGACAAAAAGATTTTTGCCAAGGGTGTACGAAATGTTCGTGATTCGTGAAGTGATAAGCCCCTCGATCTGAATGATATGTAGACGTCAGAGACGAGGACCCAGGCCCCTCATTTTCCAAAACTGAAGTAACGCTTTGTTTTGACTGAGGGGCAAATCACTCTAAGAAAATCTAGTACACCTTTCGTGAAAATCCTATTGTTTTATCTGAAAATCCCCAGAAATCCTTTTGTTTTAGGCAAAATCTCGTACGCTATTTGCAAGAGTGAATCGCCCCTCGGTTTTGACAGTTATATGCACAAAGACTGCACCGTTTGTTTGTTCTTCTGATGACTGAAGATCAATGAGGTTGAGGTCACTTGGCTATACTACAAACTGTTTCATAACAACACAGTTGATCGAGACGTGATTTAAAGATATCCTCCGACTCACTAGAAATATAGATAAAAAAGCATTATGTTTTTGAATATATACTAAACAGATTAGATGTTATTAGTTGATCACTCGATGCTCAACCGTCCTTATAGTGGTTTTAGAAACAATTTATAGTACGTAGTTGTAAAAAATCACTGTTGAAATGAGAGAAAAACGGAGAATCAGGACCGCCGAGAGGCTTTGGAGGCCCTTGGAAAGATCCGAAACAGAACGCCCCCTGCGAGCAAAACGAGCTGACCACACCTATTTGATTAGCTTAAATACATTCATTCGTTCAAAATGTTTAAATTTTTAAAGGCATAATTTTGTTACTTTTAACTAATCACATTTTAAGACGGCCATAGGGCGATTTGCCCCCTTGCCCACCACCCTTGCCAACCCCCTTTGCACACCCTCAGGCCCTGCTGAGAACATCCGAGCCTAATATTATGCAAAAATATTGACCTGGTGAAAATTATCAAGTTATTTTTCAAGTTCTGTGTCATAACAAGGCAATTTAAAGATATGTTTAATGTAACAGTAAAAACAGTATTCTAAGAAGATACAAATCAGATGATTCATGAGTTTCTTTCTGTATCCACATTTTTGGACCTCAATATCTCTTTATTCCAGCTGTGAAAGGACAACTCAAAGAAACAATAACAAGAGAAAATAAAAGCATTAAATTGAACCAACTGAGCCTTCAGTTTTCTAATCTTCTCAACTAAAAATTTGCAAAACAACAAACATATATAAATTTCTAAACTCTTGTGATATTTTCATCGTACTACTCTGAAGTTCAAAATATATTTGAATTTAATATATTGAGGTTGGATTGACCTTTTATGAGCTCAAAGTATGGAGAAAGTGATTGCAAGGTCTGGGCTTTTTTCCCATAAAAGAGCAGGGTGCTGTGTTATAAAAAGCAGGGGTTCTTCAAAAATCACCAAAATGGGAAGGGGAGAATCTACTCTCAACCTTAATAGGGGGCATAATTAGCCCTGTAGGGGGCTTTAGGGCTTATAAAAGGGGGTTCAGCAGGAATCCAGAAGAAGCATGGTGGCATTTAGGGAACACCAGAAAAGGTGATAATGTTAGTTTAACTGCCAACAGATTTACAAAACAGCTGACAGAAAAGGTAAAGTTCAGTTGAATTCATAGAAGCCTTTTTGGCCATGGATGTCAATTAGAAAGTCAATACCTCAAGAATTCTAGTCATATAAAGTTTCTACCTATCTACATATAATACACAACACATTGTTCATATTTTTTCTAATCAAAGAACCTGAATACAGTCATTAAGAAACTTAAAAGTTCAAAATGACACCTAAAACTCAATTTCTTCATAGCTGACTCTGGGCACAGGTCATGGGAATGCTTAAAGTTACTAATTGAAGCTGAAATTATAAAGTTGATTGCTGTTATCTATAAAAACTCCACTACATGTAACATTTTGCAACCAATAGCCATCAACGGAGGTTTACTGTTAAATTTTAATGCATTTTTTCTATGGCCCTATCAGCCACGTAGTTGCAGGGGGTACGGGGGGCTGTGCCCCCCCTAAATGAAAATTTTGACAACAACCTTCCCCCTCTTGCTATAGTTTTTCCAAATGATATTTTGAAAAGTTGGCACAATTATAATTCCATGAGTTTGATTTAGTCCAAATATATATGTTTGTTATATATCTGTTTTCTTGTTTTAAAGCCTGCCCCCCCCCCCTCAGGTATGGTTCTTGCTCGAGTTTATCCACCCAGGCACCGTGGAGGCTTTAGTCCCTTCATTTTTTGCAAAAAATGCCAAATAATGCCAAGTATCAAACTACCAGAAAAGCCTGATTCTATACGGTTTTAGCCCCCCCCCCCACTTTTTTTAGACCCCCTCCCACTTTTCTCAACGCTCCGCGGTGCCTGCCACCCTAGCCGACATCTATAGCTACGTGGCCCTATCAATTTCACCAAATTTAATGTATTTCGTTCTTAGGTGCCTCCTCATGATGTCACGATGTCTTCATCTTGGGTGCACCGTCTCTATCCTCTACATAATGGTACAAGAGGGCATTTGCTTCATGTAGCTGAAAAGGTGGAAGTTTATTCAGGGGGTATTGTGGTGGTCCGATTCTAGGAGGGCCAAGATGTTCCATTCTCCAACAAATTTTGGAGAAGCATGGGAGAAACAATAAAATAAAGTTTTTCTGAATTTGGATATTGGAGAATGGAACATTGTGACCAAAAAAGAGAGGATTGTTTGAATGAAAGTGAAAATCTTTGCCTACAAAAAGTCAGGGTCACCTCTGAGCACATCGTTTTTGTAAATGTCTTTCCATCTAATTGTCTTTCCTTGTAAGAATACCAACAAAGCACATGGTAAACGAACTTTTTCCTGTAAAAAGCAGATCAATACTCTTTTGAATTGTGATTTCTCTCTTCCCTGTCGATTTGTGGTGTTACAGTGTGGATTGGCGATTCAGGAGACGATATCGAAGAGAAAGAAACAAAAGATGGTGGTTGGTCAGTTTGGTCCGACCTTTGCCAATTATGCATGCTGTTCTGTGATTTTATCCTTTTTTGTTGTGCTTGTTGGTGGATTGCAATTTGCTTTCGTCTTGTGGAACACAAGCATTGCTGTATCTGCAACTTTAAATCCTCCTTCAAAAGTTCGTCAGTTATGCTTATAAGTGTCCGTCCAATGTGCTCTGCAAAAATCATATCTTCATGAATCTCGGGTGAAATTCCAATTGATCGCAACCTTGACGAATCTTTCGGCGATAAACAGGAGTCAATTTCAATAAAATCTCGTGACGCTCTTGAAGGCATTGCTACAGCCGTTGTCTCCTTTAAATGGCTGGTTGGGAATTGTTGTGATGACTGATGTCTCGGCTGTGGCACATCTTGTTTACTTCTATCGTTTAATTTAGGCCTTTTCGTCTGTTTGGCTGCTGCCTCAACAGATTCTCGATGGGACTCTGTTTTAAGTTCACCTTCCAAACCCTCCATAGAACATTCGTCGTGCCCGCCGTAGGATTCATAATTCCCGTCAACGTCGCATATCGCAACCGTATCGTCTGACCTCGGAGTCGCTCTTTTCTGGTTCATGTGTCCTTCCAGAAACAATAGCGAATCAAAATAGGCCCATCTCGACTGTCCTTTGGTAGCACCGACAGGAACTCCACTGTCGTACAGTCTCTTAATTTCGCGACCAAAATAGCTGCGTAGGTTTTCCATTTTTCGTATGATATCGACCAAATGAATTTTACCAAGTGCTTCATGAATCTCGTTCATTGCGACGGATCTTTTATCCCGTTTATAATAGTCTGTATGTCTGGTGTTGTAAAGAACTTCATTGTTCGACCAGACTTTGATAAGAAGGGATATTTCTTCAACTGTCCAGACTCTCGCTCTATTTGGTGTGGCCTTGCGAGCTTCCTGTAAATCTTTTTCAAATTCCATCTCCTTTTTGCAAGTTTAAAGCCACGAATGCTGCGAGAGAAAATATGCGATATTCGGCAGGTTATCCAAGTCGTGTCGCACGATATGAAAGGCTGGCCTAACAAATCTCAGATGTCGCCGCAGACAAATAAGTTCAAACACAATGACAATATCCGGTTGTGCGCGTGACGTCCACCAGATGCTTCAATTTTGCTGATTGACGTGTACGAGTTCCGACAAAGTTGCTTGCGAAACTTCGACATTGACATTTGAATACAAAGTGAAACGCTACATGTTAAAAACATAATGATACAGAGGCTTTTATTAATTTTAATGCTTTATTTAACATCTGTTTAATTTTCGGAACTCGAGTCGAGTGAAAGAGAGTGTCAAAACTCAACTCAATAATCTGATGGGAAATGAACAGTGAAAGGGAAAACAGATCAAATGTGATTGTCAATGGTTGTGGTTGTGTATATCGCCAATCTTTTTGAAGAGGCTACCGAAGAATATAAGAATACATTTTGTAGAGGTATGTTAAACCCGGGTTTGGAGGGTTCACCCTTCCTTATAAAATCAATGATTCTTTTTTTATTTTTTAAGAAACCAGAATCAGCACTAAGTACTAAAAGTTTCTTAACTTGGCATCCAAATTTTGGCGTTATAGTAATAAAAGATTCTTAGTGGGTTACTTATTTCGGGACTTAAAATTGCCTTATTCCCACCCCCTTATTATTTTGAAGTTGAGCAGTTTGGAAGAGAATAAACAAAGATCGCCACGAAAGAACCCATGCAGGAATAAAATATCGGAAGTATGCTATCATTTTCCAAAGAAAAATTGATAAAATAAAAACTTTCGGACACTTTTTCTGAACATGGAATTTTCTTGAACATAGTACCAAAGATTCCTAAATTTTTGGGCAACCTAGTACTAGTTTCTTATACACCATCTTATAAATGGAAAACGTGTACTCGCTATTCCTATCCATCAGACACTGAAAACGTGGGGGAGGCAAAAAAGTCTTGTCGACGTTCGTATCTTGTTCTTTGATGGCAAAAACCTAGTAACAGTAGTAAAAGCCTTCAAAAAGTTAGTATCTTGCACTTGATGAAGAATTTTTGTAAAGGAAAAAAGCAATACATTTTTGGGTAATCTTTCTTCGCTAACGATAAGAAATGAAAGAAAGTAAAGACGATAAGAGATGAAAGAAACGTTTTGTTTCCTATCATCTGTTGTTCGACATGAGGCTGTTGTTGTCTGGCCGAGATCAAACACTTACAAAAACTACAAAACTGGTCTGCTCGTATTGTAACTGGCTCAGGCACCACGCACCAGTCTAAAATACTTGCTTCTTTTCTCTTATTATTTATAAAGAGTCCGATCCAGGGAATATATCGAATACTATAGAAATAGATTTAGCAAGATAAGACAGAATAAACAGAAAAAGGGTTCCCAGTCAAGAAGAAGAAGAGGAACTCGAATTATTCCAAACAAGAATTATTTTCAAACGTATTTCTCACTGAAGAAAATAACGAAGCTGTGTAGAAAAATTGAAAATGAATAAAAGGATAAAAAACAGAAAATGTACTTCAGCAATATTTAATTGAAGAAGTTACAGTAATGTTGATATTATGAATGACTTGTTAATAGTGTAATCGGTCGACTTCTTACATCATTAATTGCCTCGTATGAGATGTCAATCGTGATACAAGAATCATTAATGGATTGTTCTTCTACAATCCTTGCCAAAAGTCTTGGTACACCAAGCTAAAATTTCGCATAACTTCAGTAGCATCCCCCTCTCCCCCTTGAAACAATGTTGAATAACAACAGTTTCAAAGCTTGAAATTCGTCCAATGTCCGTTTATTAGCTAGGGTCAGTAGTAGGCTTTTCAGCCAACATTGTTTCATAGAGGGAGGGGGGATATTTCTGTATCTTTCAGCCGGAAAAACCTTTATTTCTTCAAAATCTTTCATTGGTCGCAGGGTGTTCCAAGGACTTTTGTTAAGGATTGTAGCTACTAAATTGAAGGACGTGGTCACAAAGATTTTTTTAAGGGTCCTGCACGAAAATCACCTACTTTCATCAAAATGTGCAGTGACATATTTGCCTTAAAATTAGATATGTGCTATCCTTGCTTAACATTCACGAATGGGCCCTGAATCTTAAGGCCTAACCTTCAAAAGATTCAGTACTTTAAACAGATTGGTCAGATAAAGTTCTTACCGATGATTAAATGATAATTATGCAAGTATTCATACTAGCATGTCTTTAAGAATATTTCTCAAACACTTGGGCGCAGTATTTTTGTGTGTTTATTTTACTCATCAAAATATGCTCACGTTAATATGAAGGTGCAAAATCCATTCTGTATATTGGTTGGGAAAATGAATAAGCAGAAATTTTTTAAATGAGCTGGGTCCGGGCAAGCCTAACTTTTATACGACCAAAGAACGTGCACACAGTAAGAGATTTATTGAGCCCTGTGTGTCGACTGACAAATGTATGGACGGTCATTCAAATGCATATTAAGAGTATCACACCTATATAAAACCTTTTATAATATCATTTGATACACATTTGTCAAATCCTTAGCTTTCTTTCCTGAGGAAAAACAGTCTCTTTTCTAGAGTCCATCCTCTCTCTTCACCCTCAATTGAGGCTTCTTCAGATACCTGGCAATCGTAAAACAAGCGATAATTTATTCTCGAGAATTATCAGTTATGTTGGAAACTCTTATTAAATTTCAAAGGAATCAGACAAGGCTTTATTGAATCGCAAACAGCTGCTTACGAATGAAATATTTACTACATTGTCTGTTTTAAATCCTTGTTTTGGGCCTTAAGTATTGATACAATATAATGTTGAAAAATAGTGGATAAATTATAATTGGTCTTATCAATGCTTAGTTAGACAAAAATAAAAATTTCATCGTGTAAACTGGCTTTGAGGCCTGGAAATGGTTATTTTGTCAAAAGCAAAACTTTAAACAGTGGATCTTTTAGCATACACAATAAGAAAGGTAGTTTCTAACTAGGCCCTGAGATTTCACCATGAGTTTTGCATGATTCCCCATTAGTAAGTGCGCTTCTGTTGAAAATTATTTCGAAGATCACTTAAAATATCTCGTTTTAATGCTTTTTAGTATTATATTGTGTATTTTGTAACTCATTTGATATTCATTTTGCCTCATTTTTGTAAATCAATCCCATTATGGTAAACAGTGCATACTCGAATAATCTTCCTCTTTTTGGCTTTATACCCAAATGTTTCAAAGTAAGACAAATTCCTTTTGCATTTATCCCCAAAAGTAGATATTTGTTTAAAGTTCCCCCTACTTGCAAAACAAAATCCGAGCTGCACCTCATGTAAGCAAATGATATAAAAAAAAGCCACAAATATAAGTTGTTCCTCCGAAAAACACACAACATTTGTACAGAATGATCCTAGGGTGACCTACCCCCTTCTACGACGCCCTTAGATCCAACGAATAGGATTTTAGGATAAAAATGGCAGAAAATCAAATAGGGAATAAATGTTGCAAATCGGGACAGACCAGTTGAATAATGCCTGTAAAAATGAGGTGTACGGCATAAGATGAATATTTTTATCATCAATTTGCATAAAAGATGCACCCATCGTACAAAATTATTCCGATGTTTATATTTAAAATGTAAAGCGATTATCACCAGTAAAAAACATAAGCAGTTTAAGTTCTGAAAACATATTTCTACAATTGACTACTTTGTTTTCACAATATTATAAAAATAATTTTGAATGTGTCACTTCTAAGCACATTCATACATTATTTGAAAACACAAACTCTTCAGTGACCAATATGCCTAATCCTTGTATAATGGGCGTTTCCCAAGGTTAAAACGTTTAATAATAATTTATTGATGTGCAGCTCTATGGCATTACTGACACAGCTTTCGCGATAAATTACCAATATTAAATTACCAATGTTAAAAATATCAAATGTCCTAGCAATATTAAATTCCAAACATTTAAACATGCCAAAAGCATTATAAAGGAAAATGTTGCAGTTCTCCATTATTACTTTCTTCAAAATGACTAAAGCTCTCGATTAACAGTTTGTATGAGAGAATAACGGCAATTTTTTTACAGATAAATTTTTAGTACTATGCACCCATGCTCAGGGTAATAATTGTTTTGTTGCAATGAATTTCATATTGGGAGAGGACGGGGACTAGAAAACAAGCGCGGCAACTGTTGCTTCCCGATAAGAACTGTACTCGGAGATCATGATATTTCACTCTTTTTAACTTGGATTCACTCTTCTCAACTTTTTTACTAAGACCAGGCTGCTCTCTAATAAGCCATTTTATTCTAACAGCAGTTTAAGCACCAAAAACCCTAACTTAGGATCATAGCTTCACCAAAGAGCAACCTTGATTCCTAGCAAGATTCATACATGCCCTCCAAAGATTGTACAATTGCCCATAGCCAGAGATCGTAAAAACCTTAGACGTTAGAGTAAAACAGTTCTGCTCAGATTCATTATGCCTCCAGCAGATTGGTGAAAAGGAGGTTCCTTTACCTTCTTCTTCCGTGTCTCCTTTTTCAATAAATTCTATAAAAAGCCAGTATTTGCTAGAAAAGTTGCTTTTGCATATGAAACAGTTTTCAATCATAAAGGCTTTTATTTAATTTTTCTCGAAAGTTCACAGTTTCATTATTTAAACAACTGTTTCACCAAAGCCGCATGTTCGTAAAAATTTCCCTAAGTTTTTTACTAAAAAGTTTTACGTAATGGGTCTTGCTAAACGTGCTAAAAGGCCTGGTCACAAACAATTTCCCCTACAGCATCTGTATGCCTGCAGCGAGTCCCGGATTTACTTCCCGCTTTCCATTCAACATTTTCATCCCCTCAATACCCAAGCTATGATTACACCACTGGTTAAGTTCCACAGTTTTGTTTCGAAATGTTACGTTTTTTCTCATGAAAAAGTGTAAGAAACTTGCCCGTCAACCCTAATCATAATTGATATCAAATTGAATATTTTGAAGGCAAAAACTAGAATAATTTTTTAGTGTACTTTGAATAAAAAGTCAGTCTAGAAGCCATTTGAAGCAACAGCTAGTCCGAAGTTTTGAAACATCCCCCCCCCCTCCCCCCTCAGGCTCCTTTTAGTTTAGCATTCTGTGTAGAGCCAAGATGATTTAGCTTACCTAAAGCAGATTAATAATAATAATAATATATCTCGCCAAATCTCCGTTTCGGAGCAGTTACTATAGCACAAACACAGAATTGCCAGGAAAGACGTCATGTGCAGTATAGTACCACAGGCTAATTTTCACTTAAGTTTGAAAAAGTTCAACCAATCTCTCGATTTCTATCAGGCCTTTTGCTTTGCTTTTTAGAATTTGTTCCATTCCTGGAAGGTGTCTTTTGAATTTTTCGCATTGCCATAAATGTTCTAAGTTTTCTTCATGCAATCCACACCTTCTGCACTTATATTATCATAATTTCCTTTGAAATTAGCTGAATGATGCTACTCTGTATATAGCGAAACACATGAAAACATTATGAATACACTGGGGAACTACATTCATTTTTATTATAAGAAACAAAGGTCGATGTTGAGTACTCCAGTTTCTTAATGTTCTGGAAATTTCAATATTCATTGTTTCTTAAGACTTTCTTAATTATGATTTCATGAATGATGTTATGAAATGCTCGTAACCTTTTTTATCACACCAAGAGATTCTGATGCTGTATTTTGACGTGGGAAATATAATTTTATCCCTTGCGTCTTAAGTTTTAGATCAACAGGGCAACCATGTTCTTGGATTTTAAAACATTTCGTTGTTCTCAGTTTCATCACAATTTAATAATTTCTTAATTTTTTGCTTTGAGCACTGAAGTTTCTAATTTTTTTCTGACTGTCCAGCACTCATTCTTTTGGCCAGTTTCTTATAAAAAATGAGTGTAAAAACTGATTGTAAAAAACCTCTTTCAACAAAAGTTTCATCACTTCGCATAAATCTTACATTCTTCTCTGTAAAAATATACACTGCCCCCTACATCCATTATCAGCCAGTGAAGTTGGATGGTGTGACTACTTTCTCCTTTATTCATGTGGAAAAAGAAAATAGGTGGAAATGGTGCATTTATTGTAAAAATTGGATCATTAGCCCATCCCCCCTCACCCCTTCCCAAAGGTTTTGTCATATTATACCGTAACATTTCAAAAAGGCTGCCGAAATTTGCGACCAAAATGAAGCACTCAGTAAAAAATGTAAATCCAGC